TTCTATCCCCAAAAGGAATTTTGCAAAACCAAGATCCTTTATGGTAAACTGTTTGTGCAAGTACTGTTTTACTGCTTGTATCATTCATCATCAGATCCTGCGATTAAGATATCATCAACATACACTATAAGTACCAAGAAACTGTCTGTATCAGTTTTAGTGAAGAGGCAAGGATCACTTGTGGATTGAACAAAACCACAAGCTTGAATCTTCAAACAGAACTCCTTGTTCCATTGTCTTGATGCCTGCTTCAGACCGTATAAAGATCTTTGCAACTTACATACTTGCCCAGGTTTAGTTGTGGTATATCCATCTGGTGGTATCAAATACACCTCTTCCTCTAAAAAATCCATGCAAAAACGCATTGTTAAGGTCTGACTGATGAATACTCCATTTGGAAGCTATGGCTATGGCTAAAAACAGTCTGACTTTAACAATTCTTACCATAGGTGAATAACTATCATAATAGTCAATCCCCTCCACTTGGTTATAGCCTTTTGCTACTAACCTTACTTCTAATTGGTCTCTTTCCAGGTGGTTAACTGGTTAGAATCCAAGTTCCATTCTCTTCTAGAGCCTTTAACTCTGCTTGCATTGCTTGCACCCACCTAGGATCATTGCTGCCCTCCTCATAAAAGTTTGGTTCACTGACACTTTCCAACTGAGTAATGAAGGATAAGTGTGCTGTTAAAAAAGGAGGTACTAGATATGGATAAGTGTAAGGTGTGTAAGAAGAAGAGGTTGGAATAGATATAGAAGGAGCTGATGATTGTGTAAGCCATTCATTTTCTGGTAAGAAATCACTCATCCATACAGGAGGGTATCTGATCCTATTACTTTTCCTGATAGCTAGATAATTTTCTGATGAATTATTCTGAGAATTTCTTGAATTTTGAATTGGAGAAGGGTTGGAAGAATGGTTTGTATTCTGATGCAAACTGCTTTCTGGGGACATTTGTTGTGATGGAGGTGGAAAGGAAACACAAGCACTTCTTAGAAATTGCTAGATCACTATTGTTTCAATCAGGTGTTCCTCACTATTTCTGGGGGGGATGCTTGGTTAACTGCCACATATATTATTAACAGATTACCATCCTCAGTTCTTCACTTTAAAACACCTTATGAGTGCATATGCTAGATATCTAAAAAGAACACCAGATCATGGAATATTTTACTCAATAAATAACAATCTCATACTTGAAGCATATTGTGATACAGACTGGGGATCTGATACAATTAATAGAAGGTCAAGATTTTGTATATTTTTGGGCACCTTCTTGATCTCTTGGAAGACCAAACAACAAGATACTATCTCAGTTTTATCTGCAGAGACAGAGTACAGGTGCCTGAGTGTGACAGCAACAGACTGATTTGGTTATCTTACTTATTTCATGATTTCCAGATTCAATTTCGACCTCCTGTTTCTCTATGGTGTGATAACAAAGTCTAGACTTTGTAAACTAGGTTTTAGGCTTAATTTGTAAGAAACAGAATTTGCAATTTTGGGGAAATTTTCTTCTATTTGATGACAAAATGAAAAACCGGTAAACATTTACAGATGGGAGCTCCTATATATATACAAAAGACAATGCGTAACCTCCAAGCAAATGTCCATATCAGCAAAAGAGAAAAAAAAAATAGACTGTACATAACTTATACAACTCTATATATTTACACGTCAGCTCCCTATGATCAGTATATATACAAAATGTACCACAACAAGGCAGGTCAACCATCAGTCAACCATGATCATCAACCTGTACTCCAGTTTGTTCTTTTATAGGGCAACTTTGACGTGACCTATGTGAAGATATCCGCTCGGTTTCGGAGCAAATCGCACCTGGACCTTTCCGACTACTGCATCGGGAAGATTTAAATCCTGATTTTTCCGGCGGGTTCCTCCGACGGCGGCGTTCTCATGGCCGGCGGTCTACGAGGTAGAAACCTGTTGAGGATTCATTGCATAGATGCTTTTTTGCTTATTATATATGATCGAATACTAGTATAGTTAGGCATATTTATATACTCACAACTACATAATTGCCGACTCAAGAAAAGCTTTTCCACTTTGTAAAAGGATTTTAACACTTTGGTTTCCTTTTACTTCATGGATTGATTGAGAATTTGAATCCTGGTGGTAATCGAAGTTCCTTAGCTTTCGAATTTAATCAACGTGTTTTGTTTCAGGTTTTCTAGATCTTCATCGTACATTTATTTCCTCCAAATTAGACATATTTTACTAATACCTCACCATTTCCTATATCACAATAAAAGCAAGATAGAACACCATGTTAATTAGTGCGTACATCCATTATTCCAAATATTCCAGGAATGATCCAAAACAAAATGACAATTACGACTTTTATTCTCTCACAAGTCATTTCAATCACTAGTATCAAGTCATAAGATTAATTTACAAGAGTGTTGGTACTTTTGAAAGAAATTATAAATAGTTTCACTTAGTTGTTTTACTAGAATTTTCATTTTCCGTACTTTTTGCAATTATAATTACATCCACTTTTTGAAAATGCAAACCAATAATGTACATTGATTTCTAATCACCAGAAATAAATATTTACTATGATGAAATACACGTTAAAAATAGTTAGTAAAAATGGTTTTTTAGAAAAAAAAAATCTCCCACATAAATGTAAATGCAGATAAAAATGTCATTTTACCTTCTTATAGATGTTCACAATATCCTTAACCACCACTTCTTCCCTTTTTTTTTTTCTTTTTCTTTTTTTTATAATTTGTAGTGAAAACGTAAACTGCATTGAAATAAGATAAAGTACTCAGTAAATACAATAGATGTAAGAAGATAAGATTATATTTGTCACATTTTTTACAAGTGTGATGTAGTGAACTTTTATTTTCCTCGGACTCGTGCTATGTACATTGTCACTCACACTATTTCTACGGCAAGGAATAACAAAAAAGAAAAAGAGATCATATGTCCACTTCGTTGCTGCCTAGTCCATATTCTTCATGTGAAAATATGACTAATCCCCTTACAAAAGATACCCATTGCGCAATGAACGTGAAAAGAATTTTGCATTTTCATTTACAATTGACTATTTTACTATTTTTTTTATTTGATTTGTTATTTATTCGGTGTCCAAAGTTATTATTTCGACTAATCCCAATTCGAGTCGGGTAAGTCCCCCTTCGAACGGCAAAACTTTTCCCAATAAGTATTTTAATCACTGATACATGTTTATGCGCGAGATTTAATCAAATATTGTAATCACTGATGCATGCCAATGTGGTGGAACCATGATTTTAAGTTGGGGGGTGCGAAATAAAATTAAGAGGCAAGTGCACTAAAATATATAAATTTTATTTTAAAAAAAACTAGTTTACTTTTTTTTTCTCATTCTAAAAAATACAACAAAATATTTAGAACTATTTCATTAATATTTAAACATTTTTGCTACTAGAATTAATAACATTATGTGGTTTAAGTTTATTTTTTAAAATATGTATTTTTATGGGAAATTTTAGAAGAAAATGTTCAAAATTTGATAAAGTTTTATACGTGGAAAAAAAAATGGTTCTTTCTATGACATCAAAACCGCTCCAAGCAAAAAAATAAAATAAAAAATACAATAATCTGAAATTTCATATCAAGATTTTCATATGACATAAAAAATTTGATGATTTTCATATTTTTAGTTCTTAATCAACTCTTAGCATATTAAACTTGATTTCGAGCTTTTATTTTGGTGCAATCTGGGCCTTATTTGATCAAATGAATATTTTATTAATTATTTGGTGCACATTATTCTCTTATTAGTAAATGGACGTTTACATTCCATTCATAAACTAAAAAATTAATACATTTTTCTTTTGGTAAAACTTTACTATTTCATATATTTTTATTTAAAATTTATATATATTGAGCATAAAAAGATATTGTTTCAAGTTTTTGTATGTAAATTGACAAAAAGATTTATATTTATTATTGTAAGGGGTGCGAAAATAAACAAATTACATATTTTTTTTAATAATTACAATATAATTGTTAAAAAAATTGAAAGCGGAGGGGGTGCAATCGCGTCGGCTGGCCACCCCCAGCCTCCGCCACTGCCTATGCTCGAGAATTTATCAAATATTTTAATCGCTAATGCATGTTTTTGTTTGGGTTAATCTCATGTTATAATTAAATTAGTCCAATACTTTTATCATTTTAATTAGGTTCTTGTTTACGTAGTTGTCACATTTTTTACAAGTGTGATGTAGTGAACGTTTATTTTCCTCGGACTCGTGCTATGTGCATTGTCACTCACACTATTTCTACGGTAACGAAAAACAAAAAAGAAAAAGAGATCATATGTCCACTTGGTTGCTGCCTAGTCCATATTCTTCATGTGATAATATGACTAATCCCCTCACAAAAGATACCCATGGCGCAATGAACGTGAAAAGAATTTTGCATTTTCATTTACAATTGGCTATTTTTTTAAATTTTTTTTTATTTGATTGATTATTCACTCAGTGTCTAAAGTTATTATTTCGACTAATCTCAATTCGAGTCAGGTAAGTCTCCTTCGAGCGGTAAAACTTTCCCAATAAATATTTTAATCACTGATGCATGCTTATACCCGAGATTTGACCAATATTTTAATCACTGATGCATGCCTATTCTTAAAATTTGATCAAATATTTTAATTGCTGATGCATGCCTATGTCCGGATTAATCTCATATTATAATTAAATTAGTACAATACCTTTATCACTTGGATTAGGTGCTTTTGCTTACGTAGTTGTCACATTTTTCACAAGTGTGATGTAGTGAACTTTATTATTTTCCTCGGACTCGTGCTATGTGCATTGTCACTCACGCTATTTCTACGGTAAGGAAAAAGAAAAAAGAAATCATGTCCACTTCGGTGCTGTGCTGTGCCTAATCCTTATTCTTCATGTGATAATATGACTAATCCCCCTTACAAAAGATGCCTATGGCGCAATGTACGTGAAAAACATTTTGCATTTTCATGAAAAGTTAGTACAATTGAGTATAGAAAAAGCTACTCTATTGAATTTTTGTTTAAAAAAAAGAAATACTTTTGATTAGACCCCTCAATTTTACTGTTTGGCCTTATTTGTTCTGTCCAAGCAAATCTTTCACTCAGTGCAAATCTTCGAATTTTACTATTTCAGAAACACAAATAAACCAAATATACGCACTAACAGAGAAATCTCAATCAGAAGGAATTTTTCATTTTTTATTTTATAGAAATAATTGGACTGTCACACACACGTTCTACTGTAAATGAATGTACAAAGTAGTAGACAGTATAACAACAGTACAAAAACAAAATGCAGATGAAAAATAATAATATATTATTGTATTGTGTTTGAAAGGGAGGGTAAAAAAAAAAAAGTCAGTAAAGAAGCAGCTTTTAATTCTTGTCTTTTTACTCTTGTAGTGTATATATATTTCTGTAATCTGTTCTTCTTTCTCCCTCTCTTCCTCTGCTATTCTTTATGTTGTAGGAGTTATGGTGGGGTACATGCATTTTCATTTTCTGAGCTGGTAGCTGGGGACGAATTTAATTCCCCCTTTCTTCATTTGGGTCCCTTTTCTTTTCTCCTCTCTTTCTTCAATTCACTGATTCAGTTTCTTTATACATAAATCTTTTTTACCTCCCATTTTTCCTGCCGGATAAAACGGTGCTTTCTTTCTGTTTCTGTGATTTTGCCTGAACTGAGTAAACCAGGCTTGTTTGCGTGTGCTTCTTCTGGAAACTGGTATGTCTACACACCCTTTTTTAGCATATAATTTTTTGGGTTTGGTTCTGATTGTCTCGAATTACCTTTTGGATGAGTGTTTTTTTTTTTTTTGTTAACTGATTCACAATTTCCCCCTTTTTTGCTTCATTTCATGCTGTTTGTGTGGGAAAGGGCCAAAATCTCTGTAAGCTGTATTACTCAAAACGGTAAAATAAACAAAAGGGAATTTGGTGAACATGGTTAAAGAACATTGATTTGTTGCCCTTTGGATTTTGTTGGACTTGAATTGTTGATTAATTAATGATTTGTTTGTCACAATCATATCTATTGTAGTATGTTTCTATCTTGGAATTTTCCTTTCTTGCTTTCTTTTCACTTGCATGTTTGAAATTTTAGGCTTTCTTTCAATAAAGATAGCTGCTTTGGGTCAGGAAACATGTTAAGTTTGTTGCTCACAACTTTTCTGGTACCAATTGATTTGTGGAGAATAAAATTCTTCTTTCTGAGGCAAAACTTCGGTTTCTGACGAGATTCTGCCTATTGTTTCTGGTTCTGATTGAAATGATATTTTAATTGAGCCTTGTATTTACACTGGCCAGCTTGCATGTCTCATTTTACTCTGAAATTGTACACCCACCTTCAATTGGAAAATAAAAAAAGAAGGATTTTCCCATAGTTTTTTAACCTGCATTTTTTGTAATTGCATTTTAGTCTAAAATGTTAGTATTCAGATTGGCATCTGTGCATTGTATTCATAGGTTCATGTGTGAAGGAAAGGAGATGGAGGGGGCTGATTCTCGACCATGGGATGATCTACTACCTGATGCACTTGGGCTAATCTTCAAAAATCTGTCCCTGCGGGAGAAGCTTACTGTGATCCCTGTTGTATGCAAGTCATGGAGCAAAGTAGTTACGGGGCCGTACTGCTGGCAAGAGATCGATATCGAGGGCTGGAGCCATGGAACTGATCCTTATGGTAATGCTCCTGCAAAAGTTGATAAAATGCTTAGAGTGTTGATCACAAGGAGCTCTGGATCCTTGCGGACATTATGTGTTTCTGGTCTCAAGCTCGAGAGCACCTTCCAGTTCATCTTGGAACAGTAAGACAAGCATCGTTGACTTATCTTTTCCCTAGTTGCAGATCTTCTTAAATTGTGGTTTGATTTGGATAATTTTGATGCCTAATAATTTCATTATGCCTATTACGTCACCACAAGATCATTGAAGTCTGATGCATTCAAAGTAGTTCCTTACGTTTCTCAAATTGACTTGTTCATTTAATTCCTTACATATAAGATGAAGAGTAGTCTCATTTCCAAAAGTAATTTTCAGTCATTAGATCTCTTCCAGACTCAAAATTTTGGTGTCTCATATGTAAAAAGAACATCCTCTTCGTGTCTCAAACTATCTGTTCCCATTGTTGTTCATCAAGGGAATAGAGTATATGTTGTTCATATCTTGTCACGTGCGTCATATAATTGGAGAGGTAGGATGAGGAATTCACTTTGTTAGAGGTTACAAATGTCATTCCGAGGTTGTGTTATTATTAGTTAAGAAAATGTTTCCCTTTCCACCTTAACAAGATAAGTTGGTTATTTAGGCTTGTAAGAAGTCCTGTTAATTGTCTCTGCCAAGTAGACTACAGCAACTGAAAACTCCATTTTCCCTTTGTTGAGCTGGTATATGTTATTTGATTAGTTATCGTTTCATCAAAAAGGCCATAGATTAAGTTATGTGAATAACTTCTTTTTAAAATGTTTCATTTATTATATGTCACCGACACCCTGTCACTATTTATAGTGGATTGATCGTTATAAATTCTTGTTTTGGTAGTGTTCATTCATTACAGACTTTGAAGCTTCCTAGAAGTGCAATCAGTGATTCATTGATGGAAAGTAATGCTCAGAAGCTTTCAACTCTTACTTACTTAGACCTGAGCTACTGCAGCAAAATTGGTGCTGGTGCAATGGAGGCCATTGGAAAGAACTGTAAATCCCTTGCACGTTTGAGCCGTAACATGCATCCATTAGACGTGGAGGGAAAATTATCCCAGAATGATGAAGCTCATGCCATTGCAACCACGATGCCGAAGCTCAAGCATCTTGAAATGGCTTATCATCTCGTTGATACGAAGGGTGTCCTAGACATTATCAACAGCTGCCCTGACCTCGAATTTTTAGACTTAAGAGGATGTTGGGAAGTGAAGTTGGATGAACAGTATCTCAAGGAGACGTCGCCGAATTTAACCGTGTTGGGGCCTCAAGTGGTTGACCACTATGAGGAAATCTCTTGGGAATGTTGCTCAGACTACTCAGATTCCTTATACGATTATGATTCAGATATGATATGGGATGACGAAGACAGGCTTGAAATGAGGTTCTATGCAGGTTCTAGTGAAGAGACTGCTTATGGGTGGCCCCCCTCTCCTTGAGCTCCAATAATGATACCCTGGTTAATTGTTTGATTACCTTCGGTCCGCAGGTACCTGTTTGTGAAAAAAGGTGAATACAACTGATGGAGTGCTTCTGTTAATTCGTATGTTAAACTGGAAGTTATAAACATAATAGTCTCGTAACAACAGGGAAGTAGTGTTGTTAACCAGTATTCATTCATAATCCCTGTGCATAGATTTGGTTTTGTATGTTGATAATGGATTAGTGTCAGTACTCTGTGTTTATTGTCAACCGTTTTTTCATTATTTTGTGCTGAGATTAAAATCCCACAGAGCAGGGGGTTTGTATGTAGTTTATGTCAGTGTAACTGTAGAGTGCACGCAGCTCAATACTCCATCCTGTCCTATTTATAAGGTACCAAATAGGACTAAGTTAGTTCAAATTTGTGTCTTATAAATACAACCGGATGGAGTATTTCTGAACCGAAATTTGCATCTAAGAAAGAAATGCCCAAACGAAGAAACAGATGCATGATATAAAACTAAACTCATCAGGATGACTTAAGGTTATTTCTTGGTGCGAGTTATGGTGATTGACAAGTCATTTACAATATGATGAAGAAACTTTGTCAGATTTCTGGGATTACGAAGGAAGTCATTTATGGCTCTTTTAAGGCATGCAAAAAAAGTACTAGTTCCCACAAGGGAAATGTTTTCATCAAATCTTTCATTGAACACTAGATGTTAACTGGGAACTGAAAAAAAAAACTCTCTTCCATAACAACAGCGGTATCCCAAACCGTCATATTCTATCTGTTAATTAATTAGTAAAGTTACATTTCAATTTTAATCATACAGAGTAGAATAAAAAAGGATCGTTGTTGATATATTAATAAGACCTGAACATGCCTTTTTTATGTGGGGGAGATGAGCTTCTGTAAAATCATACTAAATGGAAGGTCATTTCAGGGATAGACATTTCTCTATCATCTATTTGGATTCCTGATGTTCAGAATCCAATTGGAGTTCGCTCCATTTTAGCTATGTCCAACTTGACCGTGGATAGATTTATTAATCCAAATGATTACTGGAAGATTCATGCTCTTAGAAACTTCTTCTCAGATTACATTATTCCTCACATCACCGGAATTTTTTTGGATATGGCACGACAGCATCAAAAAGATTAGCTCCAACGGATTCTTACAAAACGTGGTAATTATACAGTCAAATCAGGATACCAGTTGGCCATCAACGCGCTCCTTCCACAACGAGTCCAGCAGTCCAAAATGTAGAGCACTTAGCTTGGAAATGACTTTGGAATTCTGGAGTTCAACCTAAACACAAGTTCCTTCTCTGACGAGCATTACTCAATGCTCTTTCTACTCGATCAGAACTATGCAAAAGGGTTCAAGTCGACTCAATATATCCTAGATGTGGTAGACACGAGGAGGATAATTTACACTTATTTTTTAAGTACAAAACTTCTCAGGCCATGTGGGCGTTGGCTTTTCCTCTATTTGGCTCTATATTTACCTCCACATATGACTCCTTACATCCATTGGATTCAGTCTCATCCCACTAAAGAGGAGGTTGATTTGTTTCTGATCATCATTTAGAGGATCTGGCTGGATAGGAATGACAAGATTTGGAGAAACCAATCTAATGATTCGGCAGTATCTTGGAGACTTATCCAAAATGAAGTCACTCTTCATAAGCAAAACATTGGTAGACTGAGAGCTACAAGGTCATCTCCCAATACACAACTCCCTCGGGATCCATCGGATTCCTTAGTGATATTTGATGGTTCGTTTAGCCATCAATCACGCAAGGCACCGATATTTGGAAAATACTATCACATCATGGTATTGTGATGCAAATCAAAGCGGTAAATCTAAGTGTACTTTCTCCTTTTCAAGCCGAGGCAATGACTTGTCTTTTGGTTTTGAATGAGCCATTGCACTTAGAGATTACTCGACTTCAGGTTTACACGGACTGTAAAGCTTTGACTGGCGATTTACGGTCTGCTTTAATCCCTACTGAGACCCAGGAGGTGATTTCTTTGTTAGTTACTACCATTTCCTTATTTCAGTCTTGTTCATTGATTAAAATGAGTAGACAAGATATCATAAAATTGAATAATTTAGCATTCCATAAAATATGTTGTAATAGTTTAGGTACTTCTTCATAACTAATATACACGTACCTTTTTTTTTTAAAAAAAAAAAAAGTTACTAACACGTACAAGACATGAAAATTGTGAGCATTGTTGTATATTCAACCAAAAAAAAAAAAAAAAAAGAATTCCAAATTATTTACTTGTTTATGGAGGTCAGTGAAACATTACCTTGGCTCTTAGGGAATTTGGGCCTTCTTGGTCTGGTTATTTTATGATGTCTTTTGGTCCTAAAATCTGTTTAACACTCCAAATGCAGATGTTGATTTTGTAATCTTCAAATGTGTCTTCCATTTTCAAGTATACGTATATATAAAACAAATAGTTATTTGTTTCTGATCACTACGTACTAGAGTCACCATTTCGATTTGAATCCGGACGACGGCAATATGTGATGACTCTCCAGCAGTAGATGAAAACAGTTGTTTTGTTGATACATTATTTTCAAGAAAATCTAAAGAAATAATTAAATTTAGAAAAAAAATTCTAAATAAAATAACAATATTGCAATACAGCCCTTTTAAACTTTCATACAATAAAGGGAGTGTGGTGACATCTGGCGGGCAATATTAGAAATTTGTTTTTCTTTTAGGTAAACGCATTTAAGCTCCCAAATAAAATACTATATTCCTTCAGTTATAAATACATGAAATCTGGTTTTCACTCTTCAAGTTTCACATTCGGTAGAACAGATTCATTTGCTAAAAAAAAAGGTTAATTAAGAGAAGAGATGGAGGGATCAGTTTCTGGACTCTGGAAATACCTGGTTGGGCTACTCATCTACAACTATGTCTCCATGGAAGAGAAGCTTTCATTGATCTTTGTTGATCTCAACGAACAGTAAGATATCACCTCCTTTTCTTGCTTTTTTCCTTCTTTTTTTTTTTCCCTGTTAGTTTTGCAATCTCTTATTTGGATTTTTTTTTTTTGGTGGTTATTGATTTTTCTTTTAAAAGAGTAAAATTTCTGGTTAGATTTGAATGATTTGATGCAGAAATGAAATGACTTGTATTCTTTCCGTTCCAAAATCAGGATGAAGATACACTGAGTGTTGTCACTAGATTTTGGTAATCTGCCAAGTCCAAATGCATGACAAGAACTGAAGTGTTTAGTTTCTTAAGTTTCACATTGAAATTTAGGAAATGTATTTCACTTTTTCCTCTCTCCATCAGTAGTCGTCATTTTTTATCCATTAAACGACACAGTAGGCTTAAGTTCTTAGAAGGTTGTGTTTCAAATTTTATCACATTAATCAATTGCTACTAGAAAACTGGTAATTAATTCACGTTGATTTAATTTGTCACCAAAATCCTAGATGTACCTGAGAATTGAAAGATCATCTATGTTCATCACTTCGTAATTGCGAATCTTTTTATTCATCAATAGATATAATTCACTAGTAGCAATTCCATATGAGAAATGGCGTTACTTATTGACTGAATTATTAGTTACTCTACTAGTAGTATACGTTCATAGATTATCGTTATTAATTAGTTGGCAAGATAATTTTTCCTTTTCCACAGGCGTAGATTACACTCAACTCGTGAAATCAGATTCACCACGGTGGTTCTTAGATTACAGGTTAAAATCATAATTTTCAGAATGATGTTATGACAGCGGTTTAATTATCACCCTGAACCCTCTTTTGTTACTCTAGAAAGAAAAAGAAAAACAAATTTAATTGCTGGGGTTAACATTAGGAAAATCATTTCTTTTCTTAATTAAAACATTAGGAAAATCATACGTATGAGTTATTGGGTTCATTGTTTCCCATGTATTAGTGTCACACGATTAATTATTTATATTACTCAATGTCACCAACATTAATTTAGTACATGCATTAATTTGTATTCATCTGATAAAATCGTTGTAATTATTCAATGTCTTTGGTATTTTTGTTAGTGCTCACTGGTTCTATGAGATGCTACTGAAATTCAGCACCGGGGAAATGAGTTACGCGCTGATGGATAAACTCTCCATGGAAGCCATTTACGCAAAAATCCAGCTCTTCGACTTAACCGACGACGACGATGATGATCTTTTCGCCGACACAGATGAAATTGTGGACCTTATCAACAGCATGTCCGACCTCGAAATAGTTGACCTTTGGGGAAAATTGATCAATATGAGATGGGAGCCGGAGTTGCGGGAATACGATGAAACATCTGATGAGGAATATTCCTCATACGACGACGAATTCCCGGAATATCGGTTGGACTTGGGTTTCCTGTCTGAAGATCAATATTTCACCGAGGAGTCTGATTCCTGGTTTGATTCGGACTGTTCAGATGAGTTTTCGGAGGATGAGTTCGGGTTTTAATCAATGTTTTCAGCAGATTTCAATGAGAAGGAAGGCGCCCTCCCCATGGCCCCCTTTATCTTTTTCTCCATTAGTTTTATATCCCTAAACCCTACCTTAAACTTATGTTTTTTTTTTTTTTCCTATCAACTGTTGTAAGATCAAGTTTCGTGGATTTTTCTGTTTCTATTCTATGGAGTTTATTTTACTGGGTTATTGTTCTTCTTAGAAATTTGGTTGATTCTTGTTGGAATGATTTAAGAAGTCTAGTTTGTAATTTATCCACCATTATTTAATCATATGTTGTCATGTATGATATTTTCGGATGAATGAAAGAGTTAATTTTATAACATGTAATCCATCACATGCTTGAGGTCTTTAGGGGAATGAGGAAGCACTCATTCTCATAATCTCATTATATGCATAAAATTAAACTTAACAAATTGATTATTGTTCCAAGAATTCTTTTCTCTTTTTTTTTCTTTTTTTTCTTTTTCTTTTTTTTTTTTGATGCACATTCCAGCTTTCGTTGTACCACCTCGACACATCTTTTGTATTTGGATTGGCGAAGGTGGATTTAAGCTTTTGTCCATTTATATTTTCCAAAATGATCTCAAAACAGACCAAATAAAATAAAAAAATAACAAAGACAACAATCAAAACTCAGGGGTACCACCACCGCCCGCTTAAATTTGAGGAACGTGAACAAAGTGATCAAAGCGCTAAGAGATCTTTCACAATCATTTAAGAAAATTAATCTTCCAAAATGTATAAGGTTGTGTAATAAAGATATAAAATCTCATTACACCAACTGCTTACTCCCAATTTTCTGGCACTAAGCTGCCCTTTCAGGTGTAATTTTCAAAGGTTAATGAGTTTAACCTCATTTATAATCACATACCCACTCTGTCCCAAAATTATTGTCCAGTTTGAGATTTCACTTTTAGTATAATTTGAACTAAAAATGAAAACTCAAACTGGATAATAATTATGGGACGGAGGAAATAATAGTAACCTAACTAAATCGTTTTCACTTAATTATACACACATCATCGTGTTGTCACAATTCATAGAATATATAGATTTTGTTCTGAACGGCTTTCTAAATCTCCAAGAAACGAATAAAGCTAATATATATCGCACTTCCCAAACTCGACATCATAGGACAATATGATTAGGACAAGATTACTGGAACCTTAATTGAAGTTTATGGGCTAAAGTAAGATTTAAAAGAGTTATACAAAAATATGAACTCTTCTTCCAACGCATATTCTCTTCCCCTGGTCCTCTCTGGCCAATATCCAAAAATGGACCAAATCTCTATTGCTTTAGTAACGTATTTAACTCCATTGAATACTTACAAAGATTATTCTCTCTATGTTATAATCTGACAACTTAAATTTATTTCTTTTATTATAAAATTACAACCCGCATTCCTCAAAATATATATATATATATATATTCATTTGTCGAGTGAAAATCAACATGGAGAGAAATTCTGGAGTACTTGGGTTCATCATTTTCATGGAGAAGAAGCTCGCCCTGATGTTTCGAGTACTATTTACTATCCAGGAACCGTAAGACTCTGAACCGTCAATTTCTTTTTTTTTTTTTTCACCGCAAATAATTTTCTACTGTTATTGATTCCTTTTTCTTTTTTTTTTTTAATGATTGAAATTTGTGGTTAGAGTTAGATGTTTTATATAGTTTGGTGGCAATGTTAATTTGTGAGCTTTTATTTAACGTTGCCAAAAGATTTTGGAAATGAATATAGTAGTAGATCCAATACATAGTACAGAATTAAGTTGTTTCTTACACATTTACATTTAAATTTACAGGAAAAAAGGACTTTATAGTTTGGTAATTTTCTCTCTTAATTACTCTTCAGTCCACATGCTTTTCTTATGAATAACAAAATAAAGAACATTGGTGTAATCACATAGATTATGTCATCAGAATTCTACTGGCACGTAAGAGAGATACGAAGTACCACCATTTAAACTTTTTAAATTTTTTCAAATCCATGATTTTATTATTATTTTTTTTTAATCGGATGTAAGACGATTAAGAAATTCCATATGAGACTTATAACGGACGGATTGACTAGTGTAATCATCTATTGTCATACATTCAAGAGTTGATTATAATATATATGAACCACTTGACAAGATAATGTTTCATTTCCACTGATGTAATGATTCATCTGAGTTGTCTTCGGCTCTAATTAAGAAAAACATAAATCAAAGTTAATTATTGGGTTCCTTGTAAGATATTCGTTATAATGGCGTCCTTAGTCAATGCACTAATCACTTATGTCACAAAGATTAAATACTGTTTAACTTTTCTATATGTGATTAAACCCTAATCGATCTCATGAACCTTTTTTTTTTTTTTTGTTAGGGCTCATTCGTTATTCCAGATGCGTAAACTCCATAGAACTGAAACGAGTAACTCATTGTCGGAGGAAATCGCCAATGCAACCGAATTCCTAAAGCGCAAGCAAATTGAGATGGCAGAAGATCATGATCTCAGTGTTATGGAGATAATCAGCGGCATCTCTGAGATTGTGTGTTTTGAAATAAAAGGATATTGGGGAAGTCTTAGTATGCTGTTGGAGCCTCAAGTGATGGACTACTACTACTATGATGAAATATCTGATGAGGAGCATTCCTCAGACGAGGATTCACTGTATGAGCATGAGAATTCAGATTTGTCTGATGAAAATGACTCATTTTACGATTCTGATCGTTCCGATCATGAGTTCCGGGATGATGGAGATTGGTTCTAATTAGAGTAGTCAGGTTTTAATGAAGGTTAAGTATTGGTGGAGAGACTCATAGGGGTTGGTTTGCAACCTCCTTAACTGTTAAGCTAAGAAACTATCATCCGTCCTTGGACATAGCAGATTATTTTTTCTAGAACGAGAGATTGTAGAACTAGTTTGTCTAAAATTTATGTTTTGGTAGATTTAACATTGTATTGCTTTGTTAGATTAGTTTTAAGGTCAATTTCACCAACCATTGTGTGTTTGTAAGATGAAATTGTTTGTTGCAGCGAATTAAGAAGACAATATTTTTGGAGTTCGCTACGTACATTCTCATTAGCTGAGAAGAAAATTTCAAAAAACTCCAAGATATATAATTTACCATACTCTTAGTTATGATGAAATTCGTTGATATTTTTGTCATCTTTTTTTATACAGACGAATAAATTATTAGTATTTTTTCCAGCGAGAATTGGAATTTATCATTTATGTATATACATGATCTTTAAAATTTGAAAATTTTGATAGAGGAAAGTGTAATACTATCACAAAAAATAAAAATGAAATTAATGGGGAAGGGGGGGGGGAGGATTTTGGAGCCCGTCGATCTTTTTGTCGACTTTAGAAGTGGACGAGAAAGTCGACGTCAAAATTTTTTCCAAAAAGATACGTCACTTTTACATTGATACCAACATCAATGAATAATACAACAAGAAAAAAAAAAATTTCAATTGTCAAAAGATTAATGGTTTCATTTCAAAAAAAAAAAAAAAAAATCTCCGATTGCGTTGGGTTTTTAGTCAAGCCTAGGGCGAAATTGAAAATGGAGCACACAATATAAATCTTGGACTGTGTTGACATGACAGTTTGATAGAATATTTTACTACACTCCATTTTATCTTAATCCGCCAATATATGTGTCGTCTTTTTAATGCAAACGAATAACTAATAAATTTTTCAGTTTATGCAATTAAAAAAAATTATAATTTATTTGAATCTTCTAAAATTTTTGAAATTTTTAAACAGAAGAAAACAACAATACCATAAAAAATGAAATAATAAGAATTGATTTTGTTGTCCGTCGACTCTTTCGTCGACTTTGGTTAATGGACGATAAAGTTGACGATGTAAATTTCTATATTAACTCGGATAAATGCGATGATTTTGACACTGTATTCGGCAATATACATGTTAGAATCATCCTGCCATCTGAACACTAAGGTCTTCGCTTGGGCTTAAAGCTATTTCTGAGTTTTTTTTTTAGTATGTGTTAATGAATGCTTTTTTTTTTTTCAGATTTTTTACAAGAACGTGATTTAAATTTGTCCAATTCTCGATTATTTGTACGAAAATTAATAATCTTAATTGAGTAATTATTTCAAGAATGATGGAATTTTCTGCAATATATTCCGCATTCTTCGCCAAACTCTCTATGTGCGGGTACACGTTATGAGGATGTACGTGCTCATTCTTAGAAAAGGAAGTTTTCTTCGCTGTTATCATCATTTGCATATACAATTGTTTAGCACCAAATATAATAAAATTTTAAAATTAATTTACTTAAATTTTTAAAAATTAACGAAAATGGTGTCCATTCTAAAGATTTCCCCGTTTTATTAAGTTCCAACCTTCTTTCGATAAAAAGAAAAAAAAAAAAAAAGAGTCCTATACATGAAATAAAACAAGTTGAAAGGAAATAATGAATTTAATGTGAAATATTTTATATTTTTGCAACTTCATTGATATTCCATATTAATTTTTTAGTAATTAAATTAATGTAATTCCCCTTATATTATCATTTAATTTTCTCCAAATCCAATCATTTTATGGAGAAGAATCGCGACTCATTAAATCTTCCTCATCATGGAATTCCATTATAAAATGTACTGATAAACGATAAGGATTCATTGTTTACACCCAAATATTTTACTACATTCGTACGTAGTGATTAAAATGGTAAAAATATAATTGTGGTTCATAAAAAAACATTCGTTTCAGAAAAATGCTAGACTGGAAAAAGTACCAAGTACCAACTCCACAGATGCAATGCTTCGGGGATGAAAATCGCGTATCTTCATCTTTAGTAACAAGAATTATTTTCCCAATTATTACTTACCTATAAAACAATTAAATTTTGTTTTAATTCTTGATAATAGAAGATTCGCGCGTGTTTGACTTTCATCTATACAAATATAGTTAGTCATAATCAGCTATCTTACTCAAGCAATTTGCTAAAAGAGTTCAACCCGAAAAAAAAAAAAAAAGATAGAGGAAAAATTAAATTAGAAAGAGAGGAAAATGGAGGGAGCAGTTAGTAGAGCATGGGAACAGCTTCATCCAGATGTTCTGGGGGTAATATTCGAGGAGCTTTCCATGGAGGAGAAGTTCAATGTGATCCCTTTAGTATGCAAGCCATGGGGAAAAGCAGTAAAGGAGGAGCCTTCATGTTGGAAAGATATAGATATATCGGACTGGAGTTACGGAAAAGAACCCGAAAAAGTTGATAAGATGCTCAGGTTGTTGATTACTAGGAGCTCTGGTTCCCCGCAGAAGCTATGTGTTTCTAATGTCCAGCTCGAGAGCAGCTTCCATTTCATTGCTGAACAGTAAGAATTTAGTGCAAGAACTCTATACTTATCCTTCCGTCTCGAAATGATTATCATGTTTCGATTCTAATTTTTAGTACAGATTGTATTAAAAAATTCAAATTGTAGAATCATTTTGGATGGAGAGAGTATGATGTTAAAACTTTATGTGTGTGTGTGTATCTAGAACAGTAAAGTTTGGGAGTTTGATTTTTTTTTTTCTTGTTCCCTCTTTTAACTTAAGTTGCTTTTGTTTTATTTCAATTCTTTTAAGGGTCTCCAATAGATTGTTTTGCTTTTTATTCCAAGATCAACTTCCATTTACACAACAAGTATGTCGATTATTTAATCACCACACATAATATTGTTTCGTTGCTATACTACTAGATCTTGAAAATCTAATAATTTAAATCTGTTCTAAATGAGTTCAAATCGCTTATAGTGGATGAAGGAAAGTAGTATATTTGGATTTTGAAAAGAAGATGTACCAAGTATATATCCGTACGTTGAAAGAGATCATTTGTCATCTCTATAAAATGCCTTAAAGGAAGTTCAAAGCCCTAACAATTTCTTCTTTTTAATTTTGGTGCAGCGCTCAGTCATTGTTGGCGTTGAAACTTCCCAAATCCAAAATGAATGACTCATTGATGAAAACCATTGCCGGGAAATTCTCCAATCTCACTGAATTAGACCTAAGCTACTGCAACAAAATTGGTGCTGCGACATTAGAAGCCATAGGAAAGAATTGCAAATCCCTCGAAACCTTCCGTCGCAACCTGCATCCACCGCACGTGACGGGAAAATTGTTACACAATGAGGAAGCTCATGCAATCGCAGCCACAATGCCGAAGCTCAAGAGCCTCGAAATCGTGTTTAATCTCCTCGATTCGAACGGCGTTTTGGAAATAATCGGCGGCTGTTGCGATCTCGAGTTATTGGACATACGAGGATGCCGGGGTGTGGAGTTGGGTGTAAATTATCTCCGGGAGAAGTTTCCTAGGGTTCATGTTTTGGGGCCTGAAGTTGAGGATTTTTATGATGAGGATATCTGGGAATATTATCGCTCGGATACTGATTCCGATACATGGGATGATGACTTTGAGAATTTAAATGAGCTTATATTGGAGGATTTTCAAAGGAGGGTTACAATCTCGTTTAATGATGGTGGTAATGATCATCATCAAGAGATTGTCAATGGCTGGCCAATTGATCCTTGATGCATGAAAGCTCCTATACATGATTACTTTCGTCATTAGCTTGCAGCTTGTTTCTTTCATGTTCTTTTACTTAATTGCAGCTTGTTTCTTTCATGTTCTTTTACTTAATTTCTAGTTGTACTTGATTCTTTTTTCCTTTTTTTTGGTTTTTTTTTTTTTGGTTAAACTGATTTGCTTAATTGTTGATGTTGTCTTTGATTGTTTGTTCAAGGATTTAACAAATGATTAAGCTGATGATCGAACTGGCTCCATAAAGCATTTAAAATTTTATCTTTTTTTTTCTTTTCTTTTCTTTTCCCCAAATTGATCATCAAACGGAGAACAAAAACAATCGAACCCTAACAAAGAACAAGGAATTAATAGTGGGGAGACTCCACGCCTTTAATCTAAGTTTTACAGTACTATTACTCAAAATTTTATCCACTAAAAATTCGATCCAGTACGATTTTATTATTATTTGATGACACATTACCTTACATCTCTGGCTAATTTGATTGCAAATCAACTTCGCTCTTGGAGTATGATTCTACGTATTCTTATCCAAAGCAATCTTAATTAAAAAAAAATAAAGATAAGGAAATTATAAATAATGCGTAATTATATCATAATATTCATGTTACCTTTTTATATCATATCTTATAGTTATCGATTAAACCACTGCTTGTGAAACAAACAAACTCAAATTCTATCCAACTTTGTGGATGAACTAGTATTTGGATTTGGATTTGGATTTTTGTTATAGTGCAGTATTAATTGCTCCAAATTTCTATCCATATCCAATTACAATAAAACCAAGATTGTTCTATAAGTTTTATGATGATATAGACACAATCCGAATATATCAATTTGTAAAATCAGGAAAATAAAAAGAAGTTCAAATTCTATTCCAATAAAAATCAATCCTCTCTATTTATAACTCCGAATCCTCAAAACCGTGTATCTACTCTCACATTCTCCCTCAGTTCTATTTCAATACTATAAATTTCACGCTACCCTTTTAGCTTTTCTTTAACTCAAATTTCAATCGTATTTTTCTGTCATTAATTAACATGGCCTCCAACGGACTTATTGCTTGTTTTGGTGAGATGTTGATCGATTTTGTGCCTACCGTTTCCGGCGTATCATTAGCCGAGGCCCCTGGATTCTTAAAAGCTCCGGGCGGTGCACCAGCTAATGTCGCCATTGCAGTGACCAGGCTTGGTGGCAATTCCGCGTTCATCGGAAAGTTGGGAGACGATGAATTCGGTCACATGTTGGCCGGAATTTTGAAACAAAACAAAGTTTCGGTTGAAGGCGTCAACTTTGACACCGGAGCCAGAACGGCTTTGGCTTTTGTCACCCTCCGATCTGATGGAGAGCGCGAGTTCATGTTCTACAGGAACCCGAGCGCTGACATGTTGCTCACGCCCGAAGAGTTAAACCTAGATCTAATCAAATCCGCCAAGGTTTTCCACTACGGATCCATCAGTTTGATCGTAGAGCCCTGCAGATCGGCGCACTTGAAGGCGATGGAGGTGGCCAAGGCAGCCGGAACTCTGCTTTCGTTCGACGTTAACCTACGAGAGCCACTTTGGCCGTCAAAAAAGGAAGCCAAGGAGAAGATTCTCAGTATTTGGGACTATGCTGACATCATCAAGGTTAGTGACGTTGAGCTTGAATTTCTCACTGGAAGTAACAAAATTGATGATGAAACTGCCTTGTCCCTTTGGCGCCCGACCATAAAACTATTACTTGTGACACTTGGAAAAGATGGTTGTAATTATTATGCTAAGAATTTTAAGGGTCACGTGGATAGTTTTCATGTTGATGCTGTTGATACTACTGGCGCCGGAGATTCATTTGTTGGAGCTTTATTGACAAAACTTGTGGAGGATGAATCGATTTTGGAGGATGAAGAAAAGCTTAAGAAGGTGCTTAGGTTTGCTTGTGCTTGTGGAGCTATCACAACAACCAATAAGGGTGTAATTCCTAATCTTCCCACCGAAGATCAAGCCCTTGCACTCATGAAGACTATTTAGCAATTTTTAGGGTTTTTTGCTTAGTATTTTCTTTTTCGTTTTTTTAATATTACATACCGGTGTCGAAAATCATTACTCTTTCTTTTCATATTGATAGAGATTTACAATTATTGGTATTTGAATAATTATTACTATTTTTTCATGAAATTAGATTGTTTCAATAGGTATCCCTTTTTTCTCCCCTGTTGCGCGCAATCACGATTAATCCGCTTGATGAGTGCTGTTTTTTCTACTTTTTATTTTCTGTTTGGTATTCACCGAGTACTATTTTTCTGTTTGAAGTCGTGTACTCACAATGATCTAAGGTTTCAAGAGCAATTCCACCTTAAAAAATATTAATCCACAAAATTATACTCCCTCCGTCCCAAGTTTGAGATTTCACTTTTAGTACAATTTGAACTAAAAATGAAAACTCAAACTGGATAATAATTATGAGACGGAGGGAGTACTATACATAGTATTTTGTTTTCTGTTTTAATTTTCCCCCAAAAAGCCGCTGACTATGCACTATTAATTGTTTCTCAAAAGTATGTCCTCGGTGGATTTATTGGTGCCGTTGATAATAAGAATTTGGGACTGCCACGTCCATATTTTCTGTTCATATGAGTTTAATTCGCGACATTATGTTGTTGTGAATAGCTTTTGAATTGTGTCATTACGTGACACTCATTACTATCACTAGTTAATATAATGTTTCTGAATTTTTTAATCAATTAACTAATTCTCTATCGATTATATGTTGTCTGCAGTCCGTGCGTTCCAAAGGACTCAAAACTACCCTCGTATAGGTGTCATTTGTATGCAAAACAAAACCTAACATACATATAATTACATTTTGTTTTGTCACATTACAAATGTAACATACGCATACTATTCTTTTTTTTTTTCAGCCGAATTTTTCGATTTTTATAATCCACGTTGCAAATGTAACATATATTTTTTTTTTCTGTTTGTTATGTTTTTTTACTGGATTTTTTGGTTCTTACAATCGACATTGTAAAACTAAAAGTAATATAATAAAGTGGGACAGATAAAATATCATTTCATTCTATTAACTATAAAGTGTTCATTACATCGGACCAACTAGCAAAACAAACATAAATTAGTATGTAAGGTGTTGACATGCACTGATTTAATGAGGAAGAATATGCATCACTATCAGTTGATCTTGAACACGTGTTGAGATTCATGCCACATAGACAAAAAGAGGGATCATTTTGTATTACTTTGGCGAAAAAATGAGATGAACAAAAGAGGCATTTGAATTGTAAGGTGTTAGGTTTGGTAGGTGAGAAATTTCTCATACATTTTATAGCTTGATATTGTACCAAGTTGTCAATTTTGCAATGATTTACGTACTTTGGTAAAAATATTTATACATAGTCCCACTCCCATAAAATTTATGCCTGAAATGTGGGAAACACTCGTTCACATTAAGTTCGTACGTGTTTTTCTATTTAATTATAGACTTTCTTGACAATTTTCTTCAGAGACGAGAGTCTATAACTTTGGCTGCATAAATGTTTGCATTTGGCCTTGCCACCAATTGGAAGAGCAACCGAATTAAGTTACCCGTGTATAATGATTTAAGTTTGAGTTATACTCCCTCTTGTCTTTATTATATGATATTTTAATTTTATCCTAAGTTTCACTTACAATGTCTTTTTCATTGAAACAAAAACTTTAAAAATATTTCATAGTAATTTGGTACAATAAATATGAAAATATATTTTTAAGCTGTTTTTCCAATTAAAAACATATCTTAGGAACGAAATAAAAATGTCTTATAATAAGGACCGGAGGGAGTATCTCGTTTCTTACTTAATTACTTATCCCAAAAGAAATTAAAAGAATTGAAGAAAAGAAAAAAAAAAACTACAATAGCACTCCAACAACCATAAATTGAACTAGTCTACACAATGGTGTTTAAGACTTTACATCAAAAAGGTGCTTAATTAGTAGTGTTTTTTTCTTTCTTCTTTTAATCTTGTTGGATAAAGTGCCTAATAACCACGAAATAGAACCATACCTACTCCATAATAATGTTGTTTATAATAAGCTTTGATAAATAATCGCAATCCACTAGGAGGACTTAAGGACCTATATCTCTCTCTCTCTTCCAGCACTCTATCTACTATCATCATCAATTTAAAAATGATATATCTGAGAACTACGTTGACCAAACAATTTGACGTTTTCCTTTGCCTATTTTTTGGCGTTTGCCAACCTATGTACATCACAATGACATCTTTAGCCATCACTAAATTAGCTACACATTACGACAATTTCAACCTCAGAAGTGCCCGAAAAAAAAAAAAAGGAAAGAAAAACTTTACCAAGAAATTGTGAGATAGTTCGAGGATTTGGTATAGCGGTAGGTGATCTTAGGATTCAATGAACTTTCGTCTGATTTTAGGATTTCATCTTGACTTTCTGAGTTGTTGAATTAAATTCAGTAACCATAAGGGTGCTAAGTTACTACATTATTTAACTAACAAGTTATGCATTAAAATATACTAACCATCAATTATATCGTATTTCAGTTACAATTATAATTTCATAGACGAATTATTCTAAATTGGAGTCTCATAATACCAAATGGGAGCTGATAAATTGAGAGCTAAAATTTTATATTGAGGGTAAAATTTTTGAAATTACCAATATTATCTTCAGTAAGATTTCAATACATCATACTTATTAGTCCTTGAAATTCTCCCTTCTTTCCTTAACTCCACTTCTTTTTACAACAACAATAAGAAAAAAAATATTTTCTTAAGAAAATAATAAATTAGAACACCAAAAAGCTTATCGTAACCTAGCAAAACAACTAAAAATGATTTTTTTTTTACTGACTTCAAATAAATTAAACAGGAAAACAAAGTAAAACTTCAAAAAAATTCAATAAAAATATTTCTCAATATTTATATGTTGAAACTGTTGGAGTTATAAAATCATTTACATTTCAACCAAAAAATATTTTGTATTTTGATTAGTAAAAACTGAATCACTAATTAACAACGAATTATCACCCAAGATGCAATAATACTAATGTAACACGCAAAATAACTTATTCCAAAATCTTTTTTTTTACTAATAAATAATGCATACAAAATCCTAATAAAAGAAGAGTACTTTTGCTATGAGGAATTCAATAAAGACTTTTTTTTAATTATATCTAAATTTTTAAGTCTCAAACATAATACTTCTCTTTTTCTTATTCGAGAAGTCATAGTTTCATAATTTTGCAAAAAGAGATACTAGAATTAAATATTAAAGGAGAGAAAATCAAGAATGAATAAACATGGTAAATTCTTCAAATCTTAAAAAAGGGTAATATTGTCAATTGATAAAATTTTGCTCTCATTATAAAATATTTGCTCTCAATTTATCAATTCTCATACCAAATAGTCTATTACAAGATCCACTTCTCCTAGATTCACTTCAACTATCCCATAAGTCATAAAGCTCTTTAAAGCCTTAATTAGTGCTCACACTAATCTTTAGTTCCTTCTCATTTACCATTTGTTTTTCATTATTCAACCAACTTTTCACATTTCTTGTCCTGCTCCAACTTTTTAGTATTCAAAAATCAACATACAGAGTTAATTTGGTAAGCAAAACCATCATCATCTTCCTCCTACGTGTATTTTTCTTTCCTTTAGCGAATTCATTAAAAGAAATATGTGAGTTGTCAATTTGAAAAATAAAAAATAAAAATAAACATATACAGTAATAATATGATGTTAATAGGGTAAATAAGGTGTTGCCCATGTCAGGAGCTTTTTATTCAGTTGTTTGGTCATTTTTGGCGTTAATTTTTTACATTTTCGAAGTTCGTCGGCAATGAGTAAGACATCTACCAAAAATAAGTAATAATCAAATCTCATTCCACACGTAATAAGTAATATTTCATATGACTGAAAATAATTACCTATTTTAAATTTTCATTTTCAATACAAATAATAACCGCTAGTGACCTCTGATATTAGACCTGGGTTTAATTACCATGTAAAAGAGAGATTTTTCCTAATTAAGTGAAATCTACTAAGATAAATTTTAAGGAAAAAAAAAGTTGAAAACCAAAATTGAAAAATTAAAAATCTAAGTTAGATAATCATTTTAGAACCGAATGAGTAACATTCTTTGAAGCACTTCCGCTATTTTATAAAAATAATTCACTTTGATGCATTGTTTTAGTTTTAAAATACACTATTTTTTTATTGAAAGGAAATATAAACTGAAATCTCATGTAAGCAAAAATTAGAATATTGTCGTTTTCACTTGCCGGGAGACATCACGGATTCAAATAATTGAAAAATTCCAAGAAGTCTTTTACTAAAACGCTACAAGCTGCGAAGGCCTTAAAGCCATTATCATTGAGGTATTTTGCACATTTTAGAAGTCTCATTCAATACGTTTTTGTTTGATTCTAAATGAAAATCAAACTTCTAACTGTATAATAGTAGTTGGGATATCAAAGTGCGAAAAAACACTATGAACATATGACATTTTTTTAGACACAATATTTAAAAAATCGAAAGCCCTTCTTTACAAGGTACATAATGAACGAAATATATGTATAAAAAATATATATATATGAAATATAATTTTATCTCAAAATATTTCTATTAGTCTTCCTGCCCAAGCGATCTCTTGCCGAGCGATCTCTTCCAGTCGATGCCGAGTGGGTCGATGAGAACGACTTGTGGCAGTTTGAGAAGGAAATTGCCGAGTATTGGGACCGGGCCAAGCAGTTGACGAGGACGTCAACTTCTCAAGTGGGGGAGGTCTGTTAGCCCCCTAAAAATTTTTCTCGCTAGCACACGCCTTGGTGGCCAATGCCGGGCGTGCAAGCGGGTGGATGTGAGTTCCTGCCCAAGGCACTTGAGTTAGTGCAACGGCCCTTATGTAGGAATGTGGGATAATCATGCGAGACGGTTAAGTGGGAACCCGAGCTGAGATAAACAATATTGCCGCACGGCCCCGGGTGCAATCCAGAGGCAAGGTTTGCCAGAAGGAGCTGGGAGCTTCTAGAACCGTGGGACCCGTTTCGTACACTGTGGACAAATGCATATCGGCCAAGTTGTAGGCTTGCATGTTGAAGTTGCTGCCAAGATGTACCATTGCATGTTGTAACCTTGTAGCCCAATGCATGTTAGGCATTTGGTGTAATGCTTGTAAGGGTATTCCCTCCCCATTCTTGTATATATAGGGGGCCTTGGCTCATTTGAAGGTATAGAGAGTTGAGTTGTAAGCCTTCTTGAGTTAGAGAGCCTTTCCTTGTGTTTTGAGTAATAATACAAGGTTGAGCCGGTTTTCAGCTTGTACTTCTTGAGTCCCTTTTATTTCCGTTTCTACTTTGTCCCTTGTTTTCTCGGTTAAGTCCCTTGTTTTCTCGGGAAGCCGGGCTGTCCCGAGTGTACCGGGTTTCTTCGGTCCCGTTCTGTTTGCCGGTTAACGTTTCCCTGCATTTCTCGGTAAGGTGAGTGCTTACCCGAGTCTTCCTGCATTTCTCGGTTAGCTTGAGTGCTTGTGCCGGGGCTTTGCTGCATTTCTCGGTAAGGCCGGTTGCCTGCCCTGAGTTTTGCTACGTTTCTCGGTCAAGTTGGCTGCTTGTTCCGGGTACTCTGATTGCCGGATCTTGTTGAGTGCTTTTCCCGGGTTGAGGCGTGTAGTTGTCCCGGGCTTCTTGTGCAGAGAAAGAGGACCGGTGATAATTCTGATATCAGAACAAAAATAATAAATAATTTTTTCTTTTTCTTGAAGAGAAGATTAAAGTTTACATTATACAAGGTTTACATTCTTCCATAATATCATCACTATCATAACTTCTACATTAGCTTTGAATCTACAAAACTCTTAATTTAGACTAAATAACGAACAACAACTATTTGCTATCTTCGCGATCAACCCGCTTGCTACCATGCTCGCCTATTAACCTGAAACATGAAAGGTAAAACATAAAGGATGAGCTAGCGCTCAGTGAGATTTTCTCAATTCTATTCTACTAATATATACACATACAATTCACGCACATTCCAATATTAAAAAAAGTTTTCAAAATAAACATTCAAAACAGCATTCCATATTTAAACAAAACCTTACTATCATAAGGGATTCAATCAAGTTATGCACACTTTTTCAGATTAGGCTAAAAATGTCATTAATCATTACTAGCCTTGCTACTTGCCAAAAAGTTAGGTAAAGGATTAACAGTTTAACTCCTTTTCACTACTTTTCTCATTTTAACCCCCCAAAACATTTCACCCTTACCAACCACCCATCTTTTCTGATTTGTACATTAACTTCTATTTTTCTTTTTCCTTTTTTTTTCCCCTCCGATTCATTCAACCACCTCCAGCCACCGGCTGTCCCCACTTGGACCTCCCCACCAAAAACCTCCTTATAAAACCCCCTTCTCATTTCTCCTCCGGTCTCTTCAGGTACCACCCATTTCCCTATAATAAAGGTACCACCTAACTCATTCACACGCTCACAAAATCTGCACGGAAACACACGCGCCGCCGCCGCTTCTTCTTTCATCATTTTTGTCATCAATGGCGTTAACAAACTCCCATAGTTCCCTTCTGCCTAACAAGGCACTTGTTCCCCATTCCCAGCCTCTCTTGCCCAAGGCTCCTAATTTTTTCTCCACCCCTTTAAAGCCCGCCGTCAGATTCATTGAGCCAATCTCAGCCGTCCATGCAGCCGACAAGCCGCAGAAACCGACTCCGCCTTCCGCCACCACTTCCTCCGCCGTCCCGACGGTGTCTAAATCCGCCGTGAAGACGTCAGAAACCAAATGGACGCCAGAAAGCTGGAAGACCAAGAAAGCCCTTCAGCTCCCGGAATACCCGGATCAAGCGGAGCTCGAATCGGTGCTCAGGACTCTGGACGCTTTCCCGCCGATTGTGTTCGCCGGAGAGGCCCGGAGCCTTGAGGAGAAGCTCGCCGAGGCGGCAATGGGGAATGCGTTTTTGCTCCAAGGAGGGGATTGTGCGGAGAGCTTTAAAGAGTTCAATGCTAATAACATCAGGGACACTTTCAGGATTCTTCTTCAAATGGGTGCTGTTTTGATGTTTGGCGGCCAAATGCCCGTCATAAAGGTTCAATCTTTACTCCTATACTCATTTTCCTTTCTTAAGAACGACAAATTTTATTTGACTTTCCATTTTGCGGATGACAAATTGGTTCTTAAATTTTAACGTGCAGTGCCCAAAAACTTTCAGATATAAAAAATGGCTAGTTGCTCTGTGCTTGATTTGGTACTTTTAACTTGTCCTACTGTGGGTAGTAATTATATGAACTTGCTCAACTGTGCGTTCGGATCACTTAGTTTTTTTCTTTATTATTGACATGAAAATATGATTGGACACGATTAATGAAGAATTTGGCTATTGCTATGGTTGGAGGTTGGGCTTTATTAAAGAGTTCTTTTCCCTTGGAAAGAAAGAGGAAATAATAATCTGTCCCCCTTTTGGTGTGAATGATTGTAAACTGAGGTTATTGGTTGAATAGATGCAGTGTTCTGATTTCATAAAGTGCGGGATTGAAATGCAGGTAGGAAGGATGGCTGGTCAGTTTGCAAAGCCAAGATCAGAACCATTTGAGGAGAAGGACGGTGTCAAATTGCCAAGTTACAGGGGTGACAATGTGAACGGAGATGCATTTGACCTAAAGTCAAGAACTCCTGACCCTCAGAGATTGATTCGGGCTTACTGCCAAGCTGCAGCTACTTTGAATCTCCTGAGGGCATTTGCCACTGGTGGTTATGCTGCTATGCAAAGGGTTACACAATGGAACCTGGATTTCACGGAGCACAGTGAGCAGGGTGATAGGTATTCTGATATAATCCTTTCTAAATATGAATATGACTACATTTAACCTGTTGCTTTTATGCGTACATTTAATATGTTAATAATGAATTTTCTGCTGCCAACTTCAGACTTTTTAATGCTAAATAATGCTTTTCACAGGAAATTTTGAATTCTACTTAGTATGTGGTGAACTATGTTCAATGTAGTTATGAAAGTATGCATACTTTTCTATTGTAGCTTCCACAAGAAAAGGTTTTTAACTCCTCGAATGGATGGTTTTTTTAGTTTCTTTCGCTACCTTCGGAGGTTATAATCTGTAAATGTATTGCTATTTTTGTACCTGACAGCAAATGTGGTTTTGGCAGATACCGTGAACTAGCTCACCGGGTGGATGAGGCTCTTGGATTTATGGCTGCTGCTGGACTCACCATGGACCACCCCATCATGACAACAACCGATTTTTGGACATCTCATGAGTGCTTGCACCTTCCATATGAACAGTCACTAACTAGATTGGACTCAACATCTGGTCTGTACTATGATTGTTCGGCTCATTTTCTTTGGGTCGGGGAGCGCACCAGGCAGTTGGATGGAGCTCATGTTGAGTTCTTGAGAGGTGTTGCTAACCCCCTCGGAATTAAGGTAAATTTTGTGCTATACAGATGCTCTGCCACCGTCCAAAGCAGATGATTTATTTTCACACTCTGCGATTTTGATCATGAGAAATTGTTAGTATATGGTAACTAATGCGTAGGTTCTCGCTCATTTTTGCAGGTAAGCGACAAGATGGATCCGAATGAGCTAGTCAAACTCATTGAGATCTTGAATCCTCAAAACAAAGCAGGAAGAATCACAATTATCACCAGAATGGGAGCAGAGAACATGAGGGTGAAGCTTCCTCACTTAATCAGGGCAGTCAGGAGGGCAGGTCAAGTTGTTACCTGGGTTAGTGATCCTATGCATGGAAACACTATCAAAGCACCTTGTGGTCTAAAAACTAGACCTTTTGATGCTATCAGGGTAAGTTGATCCTATTCATCTTATCTTACGACTTACGGTGTCCTATAAAGTAAATGAAATGAAAATGTGGATTAGTTAATAAATTAAGAGTGCTGAATTGAAGCTAGTAGATATTAATTCCCATGAAGGATCAATGAAGTTAGGTATAATGATGGAATGCAAAGAAGTTTCTGCTAGAACTTACAATAATTTTGTGAAATGGATTTGTTTTTAAAGTCAAACCAAATTCTGTTTTGGGACATTAAAGGGCCTTTCAATGTTTGCCTTCATCTTGCTTCCCTCCTTCCAATTTCAATTCAATCTTGTAAGAACCATGTTGCCCTGAGCTGGTTTAAGTGAACTGATAGATGTTGTTACCATACGTTCTTTTTGTCACTGATTGGGCTGTGATCAGGAAATCATGTCATCCTTGCAATTATATCACACTGGACCAGTATTAATTATTGTCCTTTTTTGAAGGGTCATTTTTTCCCTGGACCAGTAGATTCACATGGTTGATTAAGTTGTACCAATCCTTTGGTAGTTGTACTTGTTCTGCCAAATTGAATTTTTGAATCTGGTTAATACCAGTTAGGTTGATCATTTAGACTTGGAACAAGAATCTAATGGCATGTAGTTACTTGATTTTTAAGTTACCAAGAACATCAATGTAGTGGAAACATTCAAACAATCTTCATCCTGGATCCCGGGATTTGGTATGGAATTTAATCGTTGCCCGTCATTATCAGTAAGTTGGTTTGGGGCCATAAGACTCTTTGTTGCTTGAGAATATCCTCTTTAGTGCTCTTTTATGCTGTATGGAAACAAAGGGAAAACTTATTTGTCGTCTTTTTTGTCATCTATTTATGGAGTAGAAATGGCTTTGTATTCCATCAATTTGGGATTTGTTCCTGAAAAATTCAACTTGTCTGCAACAGGCAGAAGTGAGAGCATTCTTCGATGTCCATGAGCAAGAAGGCAGCCACCCAGGTGGAGTACATTTGGAAATGACTGGTCAGAATGTGACCGAATGCATTGGTGGATCACGTACCGTTACCTTCGATGACCTGAGCTCACGCTACCACACGCACTGTGACCCAAGGCTGAATGCTTCACAATCACTTGAACTTGCATTCATCATTGCAGAGCGCTTGAGAAAGAGGCGGCTTGGAACTCCAAAGGCTCTAGCGTTGTAATATGGTTAATTATTTTGAGGTCATCCTTTTGTTCTTGAAAAATGTTGTATCAATGTATTTTAAGTATTTGTTTCTTTCCTTGAAAACCAAAAAGGGTAAGTATTGTACTGTGTTCATACTTGAAGAGGTAGATGGTTTGAGGTTTTGATGATGATGAAGAAAATTTCAATAAAGCAAGAAGCTTTTATCCCTACTATTCATTTTGGTAGCCTTAACTTGTATTGTGCCACTGCATTCAATTCTCCTTTTCCGAAGACTATCAAACAATACAAAGATATTTTTCCTATATATGAGAACGTATAAATGGTAGGTTTCCAACTCCCACTAAGCAGACTCCACAAACTATTGGAAGTTACAATGGCGTCTTAAACCTTGCAACTTATTGGAAGCATGGAAGGAAAATCTTATAGTATAACTTTAAATTTCACCTTACTTTTACAATGAACTACCATTTTACTTAGAGATGGAAACCAAACCCCTCTTAGAAGTTAGACCTAAGCACATTGGTTAGTGGACTGCTGGTGGCTTTACCAAATTTCCAAATGGTCCAGAATTCAAACTCAATGATGAGAATTGCAATGGTGTGGTTGGTGGTCACCAAAAGTGTTTTACCCACAAGGGAAGCCCAATATTTCCACGCCCACCTGCTAAGCTTTTTGATATTATGGGGTTAATATTTACACCAAATTACCTACTGCTAAATCGTGATAGAACAAAGAATGCATCATCGAAAAAACAGCGGCATGTGCTACATCAAACCAGGGAAAAAATAGTTTTTCATGGGGCAAAAAAAACAAAAAAACAAAATAAATAAATAACACCAAAGAAAGAAAGAAAGAAAATCTACATACACATGAAACTACCCATCAAGATTTGGTCAAATTTGTCCATTATCAAAAGTTCACATAACAATACGGATTTCTACTCACATGATTCAAGCAAACCCTTGTATTGATTGGATTGTTCAGCATTTGAAAGCATGCACACATTTCATATCACTTTTACAAATACGAAATGAGAATCAGTTAAAACTCCAAGAATGAATAGTAGTATAACATTGTGCCTTACATCTAATTTTTTTCAATGAATAGTAGTATGTCACTTTGCCTTAATTTCAACTTCACCTCGTGTACATTTAGCAAGATTGCAAGTTTACTATACTTATCAATCTCACAGTTACGATAATTTGTTTGTGGATAATGTGATAATGTGAACGAAAAATATCGAACACCCATCATACACCTCCCCCCTCCCAAAAAAAAAAAAGAAAAAAGAAATAAAGTGGGTGTTTAGTTGGTGGGTTTGGGAATGAGGGAACGAAATAATTCCGATTATAGGCATTTGGTTGGTGGATTTTGAATTGACACTTAATTATTTAGAAATCTTCTAAATCCACCAGAGGGTCGGGTTTTTATCTGATTCTCGTTTTTGAAATTTTATTTTCTTCAACTCTTTTATTTTTTCATGTTATTATATTGTATATAAATTTATTATTATATTATAAAAATTTCTTAACTATAAACTCAAGTTTTATTTGAAATTTTCGAGTCAAATTTAACTTACTAACATCATTGTATGAGAATATAGGTTAATTAATTTACAATTTGAATTGGGATTAAACTCCAGAATTTATTTCTTGTATTAAAAAAAGATTTTTTATTAATTTCATCAATTTATTAATTTTTAAATTTCATGCTTAATTCTTGTACTATTAATTTAAATTAAATATAAAAAGTAAGATAATACCTAAACCGAATTTATAAACCAAACAACTCCTTTGGAATGGATATACCGATAGTAAACCTTTGTTGTTATTCTAGCTAACCCCATAGTGAAACCCATGAATAAATCAAATGCTCCCAAATAAGAAGAAGTGTTTCTTATCACGGACATGGAAATTCTAGTTGTTTTGTGAAAGTAATTTCATGAAAAATAAGAGCCAAAAAAATCAAGTGCTTCAGCTTGGCGCCAAACGAACTAACCAAACCTCCGCGTATACATGCACGCGTTATCAACTCGCTTAAGGATTAATTTTGGTTCGAATTTTCATTACACGTTTCCCATTCTTTTTCTTTTTCCTCTTTTTTTTCCCACCTTTTATTAATATTCTTATTCTCGCAGATCCGAAAAATATAAATATATACAGTGAGAAAATTTATCCCAAAACGCTTTTTTGCTGCATATTTACGCTTGAGAGTACGATTTCTTTTTCAAATTTTATATATCCTGAAGACTTTCAAACGTATATTTGGCTTCGTTCCGGTTGGAATTTGGTCAATTTTGCATGGATATGTGGGGCGTTGTGGTGAAAGATCGGAGGCCGGAGGCGCTCGGCGGCCTGAGTTTCCTTCCGGACGAGATTTTATGCTCAATTTTGACTTATCTCACTCCTCGTGACATCGGCCGCCTCTCTTGCGTTAGCAGGTCAGTTTTGAGCTCATTTCGCGATCATTACATTTATATTTACGGTCTCTAGTGCCTGGGAATTAGATTATCAATTCCTATGCTCTGCCGAGCTTGATTATCTATTTTATAATGATGCGTTGAATTTTTCGATTTGAGGTTAAAATTTCAGTGGAAGGATATTGGAGGTTGTGTTCTGTATCTTTTTTATTTTTGAATAATTTATGTTTGCGATTATTTCAAGTGATTTTTTAGGAAAAAGGGAGAATGAAGCTAAGTATCATAGGCAACACTTTATACTCATAAGATAGGTTTTATCTTGGCTTTGCTTGGTTGTGAAGCGAAAACTTTGCTCATCGGAGAAATGTTGAAGGCAGTGGAGCTTCAATCTTATCCACATACAGTATATTTTAGTGAATCGGAGAATCTTGGAGGAATGAAGATGTCCTTTGGTGACTTGATACAAATTTTATTGTTTAACTTTCTTGTCAGTGACTTGATTTTGTTTATGACGTTTCTGCAGTGTAATGTATATTTTCTGCAATGAGGAGCCACTTTGGATGACACTTTGTCTTCAAAATGTGAATCGTCAGCTTGAGTATAAGGGCTCTTGGAAGAAAACAACCCTTCATCAGTAAGATCCCAGAACTGTTTCCTCTTTGTGCGAGCTCATTTTGCTAGCTTCCCTCGTTGCAGTTGAATTACTTGAAATTTTATTTGATGAGGCATTTACCATGCACGATTGCTTGCCTTGTATTCAGATTGGAGCTTCTGACTGAATGTCCGCAATCTCCTCCAAAGCCACTACAATTTGATGGTATGGTACTAAGTACAGCTGGTTATGTGATTACTTCTCTACGTGTGAATCTCCTAACGATGGTATAATTTCAAATCTTCTAGGCTTTTACTCTCTATTCCTCTATCGGAGGTTATACAGATGCTATACCTCATTGGACAGATTCTCTTTCGATAACGGAAATGTGGTTAGAAAGGATGGGCTTTCTTTACAAGAATTTTCGGAACAGTACGATGGACAGAAACCAGTAAGCCAGCTTTAAAATTTCTGTTCTATCAAGTCATGTCCTTACGGTTCTTTAGAGTGAGTGCTGGTGTTAAATCTTCAGAAAAAACAATTGAATGGAAAAAAAACAGTCACTAGAGTTTAGTTATTACTTTTCCAAGTTGTCCTTTCAAAGCTTCATGTCCTGCACGCAATTGATTTTGGGTGAATACCAATTGGTATATGTGATATAAGGAGAGTAGCCGGACCCTCCTCTTAAACTGTTCTGCCTGTTCTGCAAGTTTATTTTATCTGTTCGTCAAAGGACATTAGATCAGCAAACACTGCCATATCTCCAATAGCAGGAAGAAGAAAGGAGTTAATGCTGATATTCTATACTTATATTTCAGGTTTTAATTAGCGGCCTGGCTGATAATTGGCCAGCAAGGAGTGGTTGGACAATTCAGCAGTTGTTGCAGAAATATGGAGATAAAACATTTCGAATATCTCAGAGAAGTACTAAAAAGATTACTATGATGTTCAAGGATTACGTGTCATACACGCAAACTCAGCATGATGAGGATCCCTTATATGTTTTTGATGAAAAGGTGCGTGGTTAACTCATGTCCTATTACATTTTCTGTGATGATGATGTTGACCAATTGTGGATATTAATCTTGCAGTTTGGGGAAGTGGCGCCTGGCTTGCTTAAGGATTACAGTGTTCCACACTTGTTCCAAGAAGACTTCTTTGACATATTAAATGATGATGATCGACCGCCTTTCAGATGGCTCATTATAGGGCCAGAAAGGTCTGGTGCATCATGGCATGTTGATCCCGCTCTCACCAGTGCCTGGAATACTCTCCTATGTGGCCGTAAAAGGTATGGCGGAGTGACAGTTGAGAATTTACTGAATGAAGAGACCAAATGAGAATGACCAGTATAACACACATTTCTGATATTACAATCAATTCATTTGCTACTTTACCTTTTTGAGTACGCCCTCTGTCCCAAAAGAAAAACAGTCTAAATCTCAATGTGGACCCTTTTTTTTTTTGCGGGGAGAACAGAGGTACATAGTAGTTATTTGTTTTGCCAGTTTACTTGCTTCTGGGAGAGAATTAGGAGTGAGGGGCAGTTTGAGTACCTACTTCCATGGGATTCCTTTTTCAAGTTATGTCACTTTCTGTAGCTTACAGCTTTTCTGCTTCCTATTGTTTTCGTATTTTGGAAGGTAATGTTTTAATGGTTAAAATAGGTGGGCGTTGTATCCTCCAGGAAAAGTACCTTTAGGAGTAACAGTACATGTGAATGAAGATGACGGTGATGTTCATATTGATACTCCATCATCCTTGCAGGTAACTACTGCTGTCATTTTGAAATCTTGACCAACTCAGCCTCTTGTCCAATTTCCTTTCATTACTTTCTGTTTTCTTTTTCAGGATTTAATTCATTTTCGTTGCTTGATTCACTTTCTTGCAGTGGTGGTTGGATTTTTATCCTCTGCTTTCTGATGAGGATAAGCCCATTGAGTGTACTCAACTTCCTGGTGAGACAATATTCGTACCAAGTGGATGGTGGCATTGTGTACTGAACTTGGAAACCAGCATTGCAGTCACTCAGAATTTCGTAAATACGAGAAACTTTGAGTTTGTATGTCTTGATATGGCTCCTGGCTACCGCCATAAAGGTGTATGTCGTGCTGGAATTCTCGCTCTTGATGAAGAAAGTTCTGGGGATGCAGAAAAAGATTCATCAAAACCAGAAAATAGAGTGGGCGACGTAGACTTGATCAGGAAAGAGAAGAGAATCAGAATGCATGAGTCTCCAGAGGTCTTAAATTATCAAAATGCTACTGAAAGCAACAACAGCAATGAGGAATTTTCTTATGATATTAAGTTCTTATCAAGATTTTTGGATAAAGAGAGGGATCACTATAGGTCTGAATGGAGTTCAAGTAATGTTATCGGACAAAGGAACATGAGAGAGTGGTTACATAAACTTTGGCTGGGGAAACCAGAACTTAGAGAGCTTTGGTGGAAGGTATGTTTTCCTCGTTTGACTTCTTTCTGATTCATAAGGAAACCCAGGGCTTGTATAAGAATGTCATCCATTTGAATGGAGCAAATTTATAAATATTTACTCTATCCAATGTACTAATAAATGTATCATTGAAGTTGTGAGTTTCTATTGGGAGTTTCCAGAATATTAAATCTATTTTGTTGCTCTGAGAACTTCATCCTTCATAGAAGGTAGCCCTAGTTATAATTGCCGATCTTGTGTAGAAGCCTTAAACAAATTGTTTTCAACCTCTAAAATTGATAATTTTCTCATTTACCTGATGACTGGGCGCAATAGTTTTCATGATCTGTCCATGATCTGGGTTGGTGGGATATTTCTTTCCTGCTCATCACTATTTACTCTATCCACATCTCATATGTAACTTATGGTTACTTCTGCTGCTTCACTTTTAAATTACCCAGGGAGCTTGTCTTGCTCTCAATGCCGATAGGTGGTATAATTGCATGATGGAAATTTGTTCATTCCATAAGTTGTCTACACCTTCAGATGAAGAGAAGCTTCCCGTTGGCACGGGCAGCAACCCTGTAAGTTCATATCTTGATAACTAGCTTCTGCCGTTTATTATGAACTTTTTAGTAAAAAATGTTGATATTGCTGTCCTTTGTTTCCTTGCCGTGCTTCTTTACTCCTGTTCATTTCATATTATTTAGTACGTTAAGGTCTTCGATAATCATGCATAAATTTCAGTTTACATGTATATGTCCAATTATGTAAGAACTTTTGTTCCCAATTCATATTATGAAATTGATTTGTGAATTTTTACAGGTTTATATCAGCTCCAACAGTGTTATAAAATTGTTTGTTGAAGGTGGACTTGAAGCTTCAATGTATGCTTTGGGCACTGAGGTATAATGCCACTCTCCTAGACTTCCTTATAGAGTTAGTTTCCTTTATTCTTATTTTGTTTGTTTCTTGTCTCAGCTTCAGTTTTATCATCTACTACACCAAACAAACTCCCCCCTGAAGGATCATATTCCTGGTGTTCTTGCCAGTGGAATTCTCTTTATTGGAGAAGGAATATATACAATCATCCCTTGGGATGGGAAAGGAGTCCCTGAGCTGCTTGAAAATCTTGTTGGTACCCCAGAACACCAGAGAGAAGTTGGATATCATTTTGGAATATGGAACAGAAAGCATTTTGAATTGCAAATTGTTGGCTCATTGCTTGAATCAGGAAGTTCCGAGGGATCCTCGACGGTACTGCCCTATATCATATTGGAAAGATGTAGGGGAAAAATCTTTGCAGACCTGTAAGTCACTATCATTCTGCTTTGATATGTGACTTCTTGGGTTGTAGCTTTTTGTAACTGCCACAATAGTTATCTCTGTTTCTTAGTTCTGAATTTGTTTGTCTTTGTCTTTCAGAAGAAACAGCCTTTCGTGGGATGACTCTTTACGATTAGCTGAATTTCTGGGAGAGCAGTTGCAAAACCTCCATATTCTGCCTCTTCCACCTTTTAATGGTTCAAACTTGCTGGTTGGCGAACAGAGAACAGGTCTTTCTCCAGGAAGTGGTCTAGTGGATGATACTGAAGCGAAGATTAGCTTTCCTCCAGAATTAAGTATATATATCAGGACTTTGAACAAAAAAAAGGAAAACATTTCTAGTCGATTGGCTAAGTGGTATGTCATCTTGTAGATTTCCTGCTATTGATTTCTGAGTATATCTGATGTCCAACTTCACGATGTTTATGTCACTTTTAAAACAACGACTGTGGCCTGTTTCCCTATAAATCATTAGGATACATGAGATAACATGTTTTATTTTCTTTTGCAATGACCTTTAATTGATCTAAGTTGTTTGGTATGCTTTGTAATATTAGGCTCCACTTAGTAAGTTGTCATGTGTTTGAGTATGGACCTTTGTATCTCTCAAATCAGACCAATATGATCAATGTGGGATGAATATAAGAGAGGTCTTGCTTCCTTGCAATTTTTATCTATGTTGATGCTGCTGCTCGGGTCTAATGGTCTTTTGGTTATGTTAGCAATTAAAAGACTATCTGTTTCGTGTAGATTTCCAGTATATTTTGTTGGACTGATATTTACCTGTGTACATGTGGATTGCAGGGGTGATCCAATTCCAAGCACACTCATCGAAAAAGTTGGCGATTATCTTCCTGATGACTTTGGAAAGTTTTTTGATGAGGTGAACGTTTGATCCTTCTACCCTAAATTGTATTTTGTTATGTTGCTATCCTTCCTTCTGCTATCCTTTCTCCTCTCTCTTTGGGTGTTTGTTTTCCCATTTTGACTAAATTGTATTTTGTTATGTTGCATGTGTAGGGTTACACAAGCAGTGGAAAGGCTTACACCTGGATACACTCAGATGTGATGGACGACAATGTTTTAATGAGACCGGCTTATTTGAGCTCTTGTTTTGAGCAGAATGCTTCTAATTCATGCCAAATGGATGATGGATCTGTTGATGGCTATGGGAAAAATGTTGCAAACTTTTGGCACCCTTGCCACATTATTGACTTCAGTGATCTTTCTGTAGGTGAGTTAATTTTCATGTTCAGACGTCAATCACATATCACATACCTTCCCACACTTGCCACATTATTGACTTAAGTGATCTTCCAGTTTGGCTCCCTGTTTACAAGCATGTGAAGTTAACTTTTACTTGTTTTATCTTTTTTATGTAGGGCACCCAATTTGCGACCTGATACCAATTTATCTAGATGTCTTTAGAGGAGATACTTACTTCCTGAAGAGGTTCCTAAAAAGTTACAAACTGCCCATAGTAGCTGGAAAATCAGTAGACAGCACTCGGTTTGGACAAGCTTCATATCTAACAATGTAAGTTCAATTATGCACTTAACTTATTGTCCCGGTTCTTCTGGGAAATCTAAGCTCCTGAAATTTGGTTTTCCAATGCCTCTTGGATAGGGGTCCACCGTCTTTTTTCTTTTATACTTTAAGCTTCAAATCTTTTCCTCACATTCTTCATTTCTCTCTCTCTATCTCTGTCGATTGTTTCTTTATTATATCTTTCTGTATTTCATGTGGGTTAGGGTCTTCATTTAGGAAATCCGGTGAAATGCTTGCATAGAACTTGGTTCTTATTTCATCTGTGTTTCAGGTTTTTATTTTTATTTTTTTTTTCTTTTACTACCATGGAACTCATTTGAATGGTTGAAATTGGAACCAGGTGTTTCTGTATTCTGCATGATGATAATGTCCTGGGTGCTATCTTCAGTTTGTGGAAAGAACTAAGGATGGCCAAAACTTGGGAAGAAGTTGAGGAGAAAGTCTGGGGAGATCTAAACCAGTATAAAGGTTTCTGCTGATTACTACTTTCTGATCCACAGGGCATCCAAAACTGGGACTAACGATTATCTCCTTAACTGTCACCTGTTCAAGTCACTATATTTCGTGCATATTCCTTTTGAACATTTTGTATGTACACTTTTTTACTGCTTTAATTGAAACAATTGTCAATCGTATAATATTCATTTCCTCTGGGGATTTTGGTAAGAGAGAGTCTTTAGGATACGAGTGAGAATGATACGGAAATGGTTTCGTTGTGTATGTCACTATGATGCATTTGCACATTTGGGAAATTCCCCCTTATATTTCATCTGCAGTCACAAAATTTGTATATAATTTGAATGATTTGTTTTGCAAAAGTGAAAAATTGTGACATAATAAGAAGTGACTTCCAGCAAGTGTTTGGTTTTGAATGTAGATTCTGGGGTTCGCCGTTCACCAGCTCTTTGAAGTTTTAGCATTCGTAATTGTCAAAAATATATAGCAAGGGATCATATTTCCCACCGGAATAACATAGGAAATTCTTGTTTCTGGTAGGAGCGTCACATGCACACCGCGGGAGCACATGGACACTCTTTTCGAACATCTGTAAAAATGTTAATGCAGAAAAGTTCATTACTCCAGGAACAAAAAGACGTGAAAACATGCTTTTGGTATTCATCAAATTAACGTATCCCATGTTTCTAGTCTTTGGCCAATTCCCCTAAGTCACTTTTTGGTCATCACATCAGATGATGCATCAAACCCAAGTTCGAGTGTTGTGAATAGAAAAGCAAAACACTGTTAGGGTACCTTTTGCTTCTGTATTGAAGATTAGCCTAAGCGTCGTATTGTATGCGTTTATTAGAATAACTCATCATTTAATATGTGAAGAAATGGAGGGAAAAAAGCTGTATAGGGATTAAAAGGGGCAAAAGCAGACACCTGGGCAGCCGAGCTCTTTGGTAAGTTGAGTCAGATCGCAAAATAAAACAAAATGATATGTGCTATTTGCTACATTTTCCAGAGGCTTCCCTGATTGAGCCTGAATATTTTAATTTACCACAAAACTAAAAACAAGCTGGCCATGTACATATATATGTAATTATGGAGATTAATAGAAGCTGCAGCTATACCAGTTTAAGGATCTGAAAAGTAGTTTAGCAAAGAAATGGCAATATTTAAGAAGCTCAAAACCTGCATGTCCAAGAAAACTTTGGTGGTTCTTTTATGCTGCATATTGCAAGCAGTTGGACAAGTAGGAGGACCGCTGATTCGGAGGACATATTTCTTGCATGGAGGAAAGCGAAAATGGCTCACTGCTTGGTTAGTCACTGCTGGTTTTCCATTCCTATTCCTTCCAATCTGCATCTCTTACGCCAAAACCCGAGCCGATAATACAAAGGCCGATTCCTCATCCTCTTCTTCCAGATTCTTTGTCACTCCTAAGCTCTTTGGAGCTTCTGCTGTATTGGGTTTTCTTATTGCAACAAACAACTATTTGTACACCTTTGGCCCGTCTTACCTTCCTGTTTCTGTGTATTCCCTTTTGATCTCAAGCCAACTTGCCTTCACATCAATCTTTGCTTATTTCATTGTTAACCATAAGTTCACCCACTACTCCATCAATGCTGTTGTTCTTATGACCTTTGGATCCATTGTTTTGGGGCTCAACATGAACGGGGATCGCCCTGCCGGCGAATCAAGCGCTCAATATACACTTGGATTTTGCATGACACTAGCTGCTGCTGCTCTTCATGGATTCATAATGCCAGCACTTCAATACACGCGTAAAATCGCCGCGATTCCTTTCACTTTTGATATTGTCTTGCGACTTCAGTTCCTGATTTCAGTATTTGCAACTCTGTTTTGTACAATTGCCATGATCATCAACAAGGACTTCCAGGTAGGTATTCACTTAAATGGTCTCTTTAACTTCATCGAATAATTCCATCACTTTTCAAAGGGTGCAGACTCAGGTGCCTATCAACACACTTCTCTAATTAGAGATCTTTTAAATACTACTCATAATTTTTTTCAGTTGAATACTACTCATAAATCATAATACTACTTAGTGTCAAATGTTATTTCACTGATACAGGCTGTGCCAAAAGAGGCTGCTGAATTCGAACTAGGGCCAACCAAGTACTATATGACATTGGCATTTGCAGCATTGGGGTTACAGTGTTTAAGTATCGGAAGCATCGGATTAGTATTTAGCTCTTCATCCTTATTTGGGGGAATTGTTTTTGCCCTTTTAGTTCCAGTTCAACAGATATTTGCTGTCATCTTCTTACCTGAAAGCTTCAGTGCTGAAAAATGGTTGGCCTTGGTAATGTGCCTCTGGGGAGTTGCATCTTACTTTTTTGGAGAATATAAAGTGAACCAAACGAAGCAATTAACAGACACTAGCAATTTCTACGCAGATCATGAGGAAGAGGTTTGAGTTCTTCAACAATATTACTTTCAAAGAAGCAAAAAAAAAAAAAGAAGATAAGAAAAAGGAGGTGATTCAACCCATGTATCAATATGAATATTTGCCTCTCACCGAGTCCCTTATATTCCCTCTGTCCCAAAAATACAATTCACATCTCACAAATTATAATGTGGATTACTATATTTCAAGAATGGAAATAGTACTTATTTTTTGTGTAATGCTATATCTATTTGTATTATCAACTGACAATCTACCATATCAATCCTACCATTCCTACCATTTTATTTCGTACTTTTGCTTTTTGTAAAAAGAAATAAAGCGAAAGTGTGTACCCATGAATTATCTCTATGGAAAATGAATTTAAAAGAATAATCTTTCATAAGCTTTTTCAAAGGGAAGTAGATCACCAAAAACAAAAAAAAAAAAAAAAAAAGGGAGGGGGGCGCGGGCGGCTTTGCTTTCAATATCTTATCTTGGGTGAAATTGTCCAAAGAAGATGTCCCCTAAATTCTTTTAATAAGTTAGTACCTCTTTTTTTAGGGCAAAAACTTTAAAAAAGTTTTTTTAGGGCATCTCTGGTCTTCTCATTGAACTATTCGCAACTCTGTTCTGTACAAATCCCATTATTATCCTTATCAACCAGGAGTTTTCAGGAACACATTTCGACATGTATCCAGAAAAAATATAGTAAAATAGCCCAAATGGTAGGTCTTTTGCTTTCAGAGCTGAATTTCTCTGTTCTTAGTGTTCAAAATGGTTCAAACTCAATTGTCTCGATAAAAGACAATCAGAAGATAGTCCTACTAGGTTAAGCATCAGCCTGATGCAAGTTTCCCAATCCTACCTATCTTAGGGGTCCCTACGCTATATACTCTCTTTGGTTCTATTTGTAAGACACAATTTTTTCTTTTGCTCGATTAGGTTTTGGGTACAAATATTTCCTCTCCTCCTTTCTTGTAGATGGTTTGTATGAGAATCAAAAGGAAGTGATTTGTTTACACTTTTAGCTCTAGCTATTTTGGGTCTATATGCCAGTCCGTTATGGTAGATGGTTTTGTAATTTTATTCCTTCTATTCAAAACCAAAGTTTGTGTTTTGTTTATCGTCATATATATATTTTTTTATTTTAAAAAAAATCGACGGCCCCAATGATGGGAATAGCCAAAATTTATCGTCATATTTTAATTTAATAAACACCATTCTTATTTTGAGACAAAATGTGTATTAAAAACAGGCAATCCAGAAAAAAAAAAAAAAAAAAGGACATTTGACTGGATTGCGGGGACTCTAATAATTTCTAAAGGGAGCGCTGTCACATGAGCTCAGCAGTAACAGAGAAAAAGACAGGAAAAACATGCGTGGCATTTATCAAGATTGGGACAAATTCCTCACCTGATGTTCCATGTTTTCATCATGTGCATCTCTTACGCCAAAACCCGAGCCAAAGGCAATTTCATCGTCTTCTTCATACAACAGAGTTTTTTGTCGCTCCCTAACTCTTTGGAGCTAGTTCCTGAAATGCTTGTTTTGTTAATGCACATTCATTCGCATTGAGAGTACTAAATATTGAACAAAAAGTTCATTACACAATGAACAAAAAGCCTACAGAACATGCTTTAGCGAATTGAAGTTGGAATTATTTTTTCATGCGATCCTATGATTCTATATATTCTTAACCCAAATACATTCGCAGCCTCATTTGGCAAACAGGGAAGTCAAATTCCGATCATCACATGACATCGGATGATGGCTCCCACTCAAGGCCCCAATCCAGTGAACAGAAATATAAAACAATGTCAGGGGTTTTAAATTGGGTCCAGTCAAAGTGAAAATTAGCCTCGGCGTCGTATTATGTACTCCTTCTGGTCCTTAATAGAAGACATTTTGATTTGTCTTAAATTTCATCAAATACACATTTTTAATTGATAAAAAAATCTTAAAAACATAGTTTTACATTCGTTGTGTTCTCTTGATTCTTGTGAAATATTTTTAAGGGTTTTTTGTTGATTAAAAATGGATGCTAAGTGAAACATAAGACAAATCAAAATGCCTTATATTAAGGACCGGAGAGAGGGATTAAGATATAAAACTGGAAAGAAAAAAAAAACAAAAAAAAAAGGCAGAGTTCCTCCTTGCAACTCTGTTTTGTACAGTTCCACGATCCATTAGCAAGGAATTGGGTAATATTCATTCTCTGAAATGCTCCCTTTAAACTTTATGCTTTGATTATTCACTCTGTTCCATTATCTTTCGTTTGTCTTTCCCGTTCAATCAAAGACAAGTAGTTTAGTTTTCAGTCAAAACCAGAATCATCTTGTTCGAATCGCTGGCGCTGAACATAAAAATATGATTCTCTTCACGAAGACTTTATAAGAAGGTAAGTTCATTAGAAGTTCGAAGTATAAAACAAACTCTCTTCGCAAGATCATGCCGTGCTGCTTTGGATTTAGAAAGTTCGAAATCACCAAATGAGAGATTCTCAACATATATAGTCACACTGACAAATTGGTGTCGAGATCGATTTAAGACATAGTCAGAATGAGTGTACTTTGGCATAAAGGGACCATTTTTGAGGGGACAACGAAAAAGACGCGAAAAAACATGCGTCACATTTTAATATTTTATCAAGATTTTGGAATAATTTCTCTGTCGATGTTCAATTTTTTCCATTGTTTTTCTTTATTAACCCCAAGTGCATCAGTTGACTCATTTGGTACACGATTGTTTTGAAGAAAAAAATTAAAGCATGATGAAATGGCAGTTAAGAAGAAAGCTCAAAGCTTGGGTTTCGATGAAAGCTCTGGTTGTGATCCTCTGTTTCATATCACAAGCAGTTGGGCAAGTAGCAGGGACGTTGATTCGGAGGACATATTTCTTACATGGTGGCAATAGTAAATGGCTTTCAGCTTGGTTAGTTACTGCTGGTTTTCCATGTCTATTTCTTCCAATCTTCATCTCTTACGCCAAAACCCGATCCAACCCAACTTCATCATCTTCTCCTTCTTCATACAGATTCTTGATCACTCCTAAACTCTTTGGAGCTGGTGCCTTATTGGGAACCCTTCTCGCAATCAACAGCTATTTGTACAGTTTTGGCCCCTCTTATGTCCCTGTTTCTGTTTATTCCCTTCTGGCCTCAACCCAACTTGCCTTCACTTCAATCTTTGCTTATTTTATTGTGAAGCACAAGTTCACTCAATACTCTGTCAATTCTGTGGTTCTTATGACCTTTGGATCTATAGTTTTGGGACTGAACATGAACAGGGATCGTCCCGCCGGCGAATCGAATGGAAAATTTACACTTGGGTTTTGTATGACCTTAGCTGCTGCTGCTCTTCATGGATTCATAATGCCGGCGTTGGAATACACCCGAAAAATGGCGTCAGTTCCTTTCACGTTTGATCTGGTGATGCAACTTCAGTTCCTGATTTCAGTATTTGCAACTCTGTTTTGTACAATTGCCATGATCATCAACCACGACTTTCAGGTACATATATATTTCAATTTTCAAGGCTCCGCTCGTTTTTTTTTTTCAAATGCCAAAGATAAATACAATCTTCAAAGACAAAACAAGTTCAATTGGTCTAAATTAGATTGTTCACCCAAATCTCGCGCATCACACATGATATCATCATTTGCCTTTAGGAAGAACTGAGCATCTTGTTCTCAAGGTTTTTAGGATTTACAGAATATCGATAATCAACACATCATCAAGTTGTCCTTGGTTTGAATTGAAAATTATAGCACTATTGATCTGAAACATTTTGGACATAAGGAATTGAAGTTAAAGAGACCCATTTGGGCCGGCCATTAACTCTTCTATTTAAGACCAATTGAGTTAAATGTGGATTGATTGATGCAATTGCAGGCAATGCCAAAAGAGGCTGCAGAATTCGAACTAGGGCCGACCAAATACTATATGATATTGGCATTTGCAGCATTGGCGTACCAGGCTTTAAGTATAGGATCCACGGGCTTAGTGTTTAGCTCGTCATCCCTATTTACTGGAATCGTTTATGCCCTGTTAGTTCCAGTTCAACAGATATTTGCTGTCATTTTCTTACCTGAGAGATTCAGTGCTGAAAAATGGCTGGCATTGGTAATGTGCCTCTGGGGAGTTGTTTCTTACTTCTATGGAGAATACAAAGTACACCAGAAGAAGCAATTATCAGACACTAGCCATATTGACATAGGTCATGAGGAAGACGATGTTTGAGTTCTTCAACAACCTTTCCAAAGAGGATTAAAAAAAAAAAAAAGCTCCACGCCGTCACATTCTTATAGTCCATTTTATGATATTATTTTAATTCAACATGATAGGCTATTTAACATGCGATTGAATAAGTAAAAAAAAAAAAATAGTTTATTAAACCATGCATGTATCAACAGGATCAAATAAACACTATTGTAATTTTATTGCAAACTGTTTCGTTTCTTTAGCGGCTACAAATTAAGGATGACTTACTTACCTGGATTCACCTCTACCGGAGATTCGTAGATGGATTTATCATGATATTGTAGAGGTCTCATGTTCTAGGAACAATTGGACAATGTATTTCCTATCATGGGTGTACCACTTCTTACTTTTCTATATCTAAATAATTCAAAATGAATATTATATCTCTTATTAATACTGGTTTAATTGACAAATCATTTACATTATTATAATTTTCTCTCTAGCAGTATACTTTTCTTTCTTTTTTTTTAGAAAATCAACAAGATCTTTTATTAGATTATTTCTGTCGCAGCCACATCTAGTACATTTACTGGGAAATTATCATACCACAAGCACCTATTATTAATCTCTAAAGCTACATTAGCAGCTACATGAGCAACTACATTACCTTTCCTATTTACACAATATACTTGCACTTTACTAAACTCTACACAACCTTTCTTAATATCATCAATAATATGTTCAATATATGACAAGTCTTTCCCATGTTTTTTAACTCTATTTATTACATTCATTGCATCTCCTTAAAAAATGCAATGAGTGATATCTTGCTCCTTTGCAAATTCTACTGCTTTGAAAAGTGCAAGACATTCAGCATGTTCTGCATCTGCAACTTGCTTCAAATTTAACTAGCAGTTTACTTTCTTTTGGGTTTAGGTTTTATTTATATTAAAGTTTTAGATATTAAAATATCCAAAAAGTCTATATTAGTAATAATTTGATTTGGTTTTTTACTATTTTGGTTAAGTCTGATTGTGTCAATTCACATTATTTTGTTTCTTAATTTTAGGGACATACTAAGACAGATTATGTGGGTAGTTGCTAGGAACTATCTATAGTACTTAATTAAAGCAACATACAAGAAGGACCGGTGTCAGCTACACATTCATTTTTTCCCCGCCGAAGACATTTTTTAGTAGAAATGATTTCTGCCACGTGGTAGGCTAGAGAAGCAGAAAAAAGAATGCTTTAAAATAAACATAAAAATTTTTTTTAAGAAAAGGACTTCTAAACCCCCCGAAAAAAGTTCCTTAAATCCGTAATTCGTCCATAAAGTTAGGGATATAAACGCGTTCTCCCTGCTATTTGATAATAATTGAAGATAATACCATCAATTTAAAAATCAAATTTTTGTTTAGGTATAATTGCTCAATCTCATCGAATCCCCTCAATCCAGGGATATTTGCAAAGAAACAAAGAAATCATCGGTCTCTAGACTGGCAATGGCGACGCCACTGTCGTAGTTCTCGCCGATCCTTTGGTCACCCATTTTCATCCCCTAGAAGATATGCGTGCCAGATTTCAAGGTATCTTCTTCATCTGATTCTACTCTTGGTCATGGCAAGTACTCCAAGATCCCAAACAAGAAGGAATTTCGCTCCATCATCAAGGCCAGATTTGTAGAGTTCCGAAACATGCTTCCATTGATACTCGCCGATTACGGAATTGTGGTTATGCGCTTGGTAGAAGTGAACTCAAAGGCTTCAAGGTAATTCTTTTGTGGGGTTTGATTATTTGATTTGTTATACAACAGAGAAAGGGTTTTATATTCGTATGTTTTCTCCATTAAAATCAGTCTAAACAATCCGCACCAAATTCATGAATTTAATCAAATTTAATCTGTACCTTGCCCAATAAAATTCTAATTTGATGAATTTTATGTCAAATAGTGGCGACGGTCGATCTGAATCTGGCGGATCCAAGTGGCGAACAGCATCAACGGCAGACCCCAACTCACCGATTGGGTATTAAGTGAATCTCAGTGAAGAGCAGCTTCCATGGAAATAGGTGAAAAAAAAAACACTCTATACAAATAAAAACTAAAGAAGACTCTGAAAATTCACTGATGGAGGCTGTTGAGGTGGGGCTACGAATCTGCGGGCAGTTAAGGTAAAATTCATTAGTTTGAATTAATTATTTTCATAAGGTGTATTGCTGGTACGGTTTTGGATTTGTGAAGAAAGAAAGTTCGTTCTGAATTACATCATGGTTATGAATTATCTTACCATAATTCATATGATATGCTTGTGGGTGTTGATATTGCTATTTTGATTTGTGGGTTTAGTGCAAAGGTGGTAGTTTGGGCGTCTTTTAGGACTGGAACAAACTAGACATTATTCTGTTTCTATGTTGCTTTAGGTAGTTTGGATTGAGGGAATTGAATGACAGCCTAATGGTTAGGTTGCTGTCTTTCCTGGTGATAAACCAGTGTTCGATTCCCATCAGGGGTTACAATGGGAGGTTTTACCCATATTTAAGTGGGGTCCACTGGGGTGGATTTTTTTTGGAAAAAAAAAGGTAGTTTGGATTGCAGCTATTCATATTGTTTATTTATGTCATTTGTAAAAGTGAAACTTCACTCAAATTGACAATTCCACTCTTAAAATAAAGCTTTTCCTTTTACTGAATTCATTTTTAATTTTCTTATTTTATAGGCCTAGGAAATTTCTTTTTCCGTATTGAAGAAGTTAGGCATTTTTGTCCATAGAATCGCTGGAAGGAAAGTAAAAATAAAGCTGCTTTTATCTTTTCTATCTTTAAAGATTTGATGAAAAAGTTTACTACTTGGAGCAGGAAGTAATGTTATTTACAAGGTCTTATCATTCCTGAAGGCTTTCCAGATAGTGTTTCGCCTTCTTATATTCCATACATGACATAGCGTGCTCTGAAGGTACTCTTTGGATTTAAAGTTGAGGGTGTTAGTTGCTTTCAAATTTGATTTTTCTATCTCTATCAAGTCAGCTAATGACAATTATAATGTTGTATGCAGCACTTTTTTGGTGGATCAATGGGCGTTTTCACTACACAAACTCTCTTGAGTTCAGTTGGAGTTTGTAGAAGCAAGGCAGCTCCAGATGCAATAGCTATCAAATGGATCCTCAAGGTATATGTTATTTCTAGACATCATTCTGTTTCTATATTCTGATGAACTTGATATATTATGTGAAAGTGAGCTCAGTTTTGTGTTAATGATTTAAAGAAGGTAATACTCTTAGAGATAGTCTTTGTTTGATTGAAATCTTCCATGTGACTGAAAAATTCAGCAAACACCAAGGTAATACTTAAAATGTTACATTTGGCACTGGCTTTACTATTTCTGTTGTTGCTTTGATAGCTCTCTCAAGGGAAATAAATTTGTTGGGAAGATTTTAAATGTCATTGGTGTTATGCAAGCCCTTGTGGGATTGTAAGTGATCAAGTTCAGTGAATGCAACAGTTAAGTGATCAAGGTAGAGAGCTATTGAGTGCAACATGAGGTCTGTTAGGTTTTTAAAAGACTGAACAATTTTATATTTCATTGAACGGATAACGTTAAATTTGTAATGCTTGCACTTTAGCAGAGTATAAGAATGTACGATTCTCCCATTCATGCATAACTTGAACGGAATCAGGTCAATTCTGTTTTTTTTTTTTTAATTAGAGCTTGAGTACGAGAAGCGTGTTGGTACAAATATATCCATATACTCTACTCATTGGTTTGATCTGTTTGTTTGTCTTTACAGGTCATATCCTTTTCCATGTTCTTTGCGTAATGTGTTGGTTACTAATGGACACGTGGAGAGATTAAGTGGGATATATCATTTACTAAAATGGAGAAGTATTCCTACTATTCTGTTTCGGTTGGAGTCACTATCTTCAATTCTGCAATACTGTGGTTGTTATTTGGCGGAAATGCTCAAATTTTTGGTCAAGCTTTAGGGGATTTCTGCATCATACTTTACCCCTTCTGTTGAAAGATTCTATGCATCATCTTTCCAATGCCCCTATGCTGGAATCGTGAAGACATTGTATCTTGGAATATTGAAGTGCTAGCCTAATACTGTTTTTTCTCGGCAGTGTGTGTCCAAGTGGCAAAAAAGTCAAATGAGTCTTGCATTTTGGGCTACATTTTGATGTTGTATTAGCTGCTTTTGGGGGACAATCTGTTGTAAATAGGTAGAGAACGATTTTACGAAGTTACCAAGTCATTCCATTAATTTAGAACCAATATTTTGTAATATTAGGCTCATGTATTCCCCGAAAATTTTTAAATGCTGGTATCTAATCCCTTCTACTCTATTACACCTGTTATAATTTATATATATATATATATATATTTATATCTATTTGAATTATGAATTTCTTTTTTCTTTGATAAATTTAAAATACAGGCGATCCCGGGCAAGCATCTAGTGGTTATTATTGTACTACTTCTGTCACAAAAAAATAGTCCATATTGAGTTTTCAAATTTGTACTAAAAACAGTACAAAACTCAAAACTCAATGTGGACTATTTTTTTGGGATGGAAGGAGTATCTTTTTTCTAAGTTAAAATATATCTAGTCTCTCTTTCTTTTCTTTTTTTTTTTTAATACCATTTCCTTCATGAAGTCAGTATATTAATTTAAGAAAGAGTGACGCATCTTGAAGGACCTTTGAGAAAGAGTGACGCATAAACAAGTTTTAGCCATCACGTTGTTCCACCAATGTTTGATGGATAAAATTATCAAACTTGGGCCACAAGGATGACGTTCTATCTTGATGCTATGGATCTTGGAGGCCGTATAAGATCGTGAAGTCACGTTACCAGCAAATTCGACGATGGCGCAGATGAAAAACCACAAAGAGAGAAGGACAAGAAAGAGCTAAAGTTATGGCAAGTCTTTTTCTCTACCATCACAAGCACCATATTTACTAGGATTATGAACATGTGATGAGTCAAAGCCATTTGAGATTATCTCAAGTAGGAGTACTAGGGAAAAGAAATAACAAAAAACATGCAAATTATCAATTTGATTAGAGAATTTGAGATGATGAATATGAAAGAATCAGAAATGATCAAGAACTATTCAGATAAGTTGTTGGACATTGTTAACAAAGTGAGACTGCTAGGTAAGGACTACTCTGATAAAAGAATTATTCAAAAAATTCTAGTTACTCTTCCTGAAAAATACGAGTAAAAAATCTCTTCACTTAAGAAATCAAAAGATCTGTCAAGCATATCCTTAGCAGAGTTGGTTAATGCTTTGTAGGATCAAGAGCAAAGGAGGATGATGAGAAAAGAAGAAAGTGTTGAAGATGTTTTGAAAGTTAATTATGAAAATTCAGAATGAGACAATGAAAAAGATGGAGATTCACCATGTCCTCATTGCAAGAAAAGAAATCAATATTAAGTGCAGAAAGTGTGGTAATGTGG